CACTTTCTTGTAGCTTTATGTCACAGCATATGCCAGCCACTCAGAACATGTGATAATTCAACTGGAGCTGGTACTACAATAGCAGATGGGTTGAAGCATTGTTATTCTCACTCTAGCTCCCAGCCCTTGAGGGATCACTAAATAAAATCAAAGCAGATGGACCATTACAAGCTCATTTGTGTTCACTACAAGCACCTCAACCTCCAGTTGTGATATACTGCACCTTTGTATAAAATGACATGTATGGTAACATGGCCTAATGAAAATAGCATCAGACTTGGCAAGAGAGGAATGAGGCTGGGAAATATGCACAGATCTATTTATCACTGGAGTTCTTACCTTGCAGAAAGGGTTCATTTTTCCCCCTCTTTCTCTAGGTTTACCACTGTATTTCTCTTCATGTTTATCATTTCATTTCCCCACACTTGTCATAAGAACTAAGAGAGGCGGCCATTTGTTCTGGCTATAGGAGGTCTAGCAGGTTTCCCAGCCTTTGCAAAGACAGGATGAATGCTACTAACTAACAGTGCATGGCTCGTTACTCACTCATTTCTACATACTGTTGATAAATATGTTCATCCAGGTGTCACACAAGTGGCAGGGCTTTGATCACCCAGTGGTACCAGTAGCTGCGGGGAAAAAGAGGTTCCTGGGCACTTCTCAGCCTTCTGTTGTGATGAGGTCTGCCAGAACTCAGCAGCTTTGAGCCTATGAGTGACTTGGCTTGGTACATAAAAATCAATTGCCCCACCAAGCTCCAAAATCTTTGTGAGGTCAGAGTCAGCATCCCTGACCAAACTGTGAATGTCCCAGGGCATGGGAGGCATTTACTCAGATAAAAGTAGTTAAGGATAAATGGTATTAAAACTGTCAGTTGTCCGGCAGCAGGGATCTTCTGGGGCCTGCTGGCAAGGTCAGAGTATGCACTGGGAAGTTCTTCATGCCATCTGCAGGAGCCCAACATAAAGTTGGAGGCACATCCAATGCTTGCTTAGAAAATATTACATTCGTTTAATGTTTCCTGAGCACTTTGTACAATGTGCCAACAACGTGACCTGAAGGCTTTTGTCCTACAGTTCCCACTCAGGCCATCATGCTCCACGGAGCAATAGCAAGATTAAGTGTGGCAGGTGAGCTCTTGCATTGTTCTATGACCACTGTGGCCTCTTCACAACCACATGTGCACACCCATATACCCATGCATATGCACCTGCATGCAGGCAATTCCAAAACTAAATTCTTCTCAAGTATGAGCTTTTTGTATCTACACCTATCTTTTTTTCTGCGTGGTTCTAAACAGTTTTAAACAGTTTCTGTGCACTACTGCAGAGACAGCTACATTCAGTGTTAAGTAACATACATGCACTGTGAACTTATCAAAGGCTTTGGGATTTCTTTTTTTTTCTTTTGTTTTTTCTTGTCTAAGCAGGAAAAGTGGGAATAGTCAGTAATGAGTTGGGGAAGAGTTCAATGTTCTTGGTTTTATCTGCACGAAAGATCCATATTATACCATGTATCTTCAGTAAAAGCTGTACATGTCAATTGACTGCCATAGGTCCCTCTCACACCAGCTGCTGCTCTGTCTTAAAGACCCGCATAGGTGCAGCAATGGAAAGACAAAGGAATTTCTTCATTAGGGGTGATGAATACAGTTGAGAAAAGCTTCTCCAGCTTCCTCTGTGAAACTGTATCCCGCTGAGTGTTTTAATTATGCAAAGACTCTGAGCGACCAGGTAATACCTCTCACCTCATCCAGAAACTGCAGATCAGCTGACAGGCTCAAGGACAGTGCTTCCAGCCAGCATTGTGCATGCAGCTCCTGAGCCACCTTCATGGCTGGCTTGTTTGTTCTTCCTGAGTGCTTTCTGTTAAGTGCAGCAACTCATTCTCAACTGTGAATGAGCATTACACCATCAGGAGCATGTGCAGGTCAGGTCAGACACCAGCACTACGGCTTATCTGCTGGCCAGCCTTCCTATCAGGCAAAGTAATTTGCTAAGATAATTCTGTTTCCTGCCATCTATTACAATAAATCAACCACTGTAGCTTCATTGAAGTCTCTGCTAACTAATGAGCTGCCCTTGAAATTCTCAAAGCATATGCAGGGAGGGAGAAAACCCTTATTCTTCTAAATATAATAAAGTTTTAAATAAACAACTTGATGTTCTGGGCAACACTGTGCCTCCTCAGCCCATGTTAATGGATAATTCTTGCCAGAGTCAGCTCAGATTGGGGCAAAAATCAGTAAATGTATTAATCATTCCTTTAAAAACAAATTTTCTGAATAATGTAATCTCAGGTGGTGGAGCATACATGTAGGTAAATGTGAACATAGAGAGGTGAGACACAGTGTGAAACAGTGAGAGAGAGCACTTTCAGGGAAGAGTGGGAGTAAAATGACTAGGAAGGAATCTGCTACTGTGGCTATTGAAGAAAGAAATAAGGATTTTCTCATGAAATGGTAACCCTCTGGCACTTAATTTTGAGTAGGAAATAAATACTGAAATAGATAGGAACTGAAGAAACATGAAGCATCCTCAAGCATGAGCAGCAGGAAGAACTCAGGAGCAAAAAAAGGTATTAAGTTCATTCTGCAGTAGTGATATCACAATTTGCAGCTGTATTTTAAATTAGAAGGTGCACTAGTTTATACCCTGCTTGTGTTGTGTTGTTCAGATTTTATGTTTAATAACGCTGATGTATTAATTTTTTTTTAAAGGGACTTCTGTTGCTCGTGGAATTTCAGCATTTTCTTTTGGAATAGCTGCAGATCAACACTAGGTTTGGAATAGCTCTACAGGGATAAAACTCAGTTGTGCTGTACCAGTTAGGTTACCAAAGGGAGCCAACACCTCAGCAATATTGTTGCGTTCATTCAGACAGTCATTTGGCAGAAGGATGTTTAAAAATAATTGCATAGCCCATCCCTGTCTTTAAATATTCAGAGGAAAAGTAACAGAAGGACTGATAATGTGACAACAATAATGAGTCTGAAGAACAGCGTATTGCAGTGTGAGAACACATCTATCCCTTGGTTTCATTTACATGTTTAGCAGCTGCTTGTTTCTCAGTCATAGAAAGATCATTACCTGACTTGTAAGAACAGAGGGGAAGTCTGTTCACCTTTGGGCAACTAGCTCTGCATTTATTAATAGTTTTTGCCCATCTCATTATACATTTAATTGCTGCATTATAATTTATTTATTCATTGAATTATTTTACTAGATGAGTAGAAACAAAATCACCTTTGCAAATTACTTTGATAGGTGGGAAGTTTGTATGGTCAAAAAAACGAACATGCAGCATGGAGTATGAAATGCTGCCTAGTCAGTGAGTGCCAATTAGTGAAGGTGAATCCAGCCAATTCATAGACCACTTAAAAAGAAATTCCTAAGTAACTTAACACGCAATTATCTTTACATTCCCTGGTGTCTATTTTCTTCATGGAACAGGGAATAAGCTGAAAATGAAGGATAAATAGGATGGGAAGAGCCTTCAAAAATTAGAAACCTAAATGTAAGAAGTGTGCAAAGTATTCGGTTAAGCTAGGGCTGCCTTTCTGTTGGGTCTGTGGCTGGGCTGGCTCCTCATGATGTGACTGAAGGCTGTGATTTTTTCCTTGGCGTTTTGTATGAGTATTACTACTGTGTTCAAGTTGTTTGGTTGTACTTTTCATTAGCTCCCACTAAGGTCTACAAATGCCCCCAGTTTTCCTAGGTGTTTTACATCCCAGCTGTATCTGTTTTAGTTGCTGAAACAAAGGTTTCAGTTGTATCACCTGAGCTTTGCACCACACAGTTCTGGTGCCACAGGACATGAAGCTGCACTGCCCATTTCAGGCTGTGGTACCAGTGCCAGCCCAGCCTTGGGTAGAGACAGTGCTCAGCCGGGACCTCTGAGCTGCGTGGGGTCCCCCGTGAGCTTCATCGTTGCAGGAACCACACATACTGCCAGCTCTGTGCTAAAGACCCGCTGCATTGCATTTGGTGTGTTTGAAATTTACAAACCTATGAAAGTTTTATATGTACCTAATTACGTTAGCCCAAAAGTAGTTTCAAGAGCTGCACTATAAAAATAGGATTGCAATAGCTGTATAGACACATCACAATATAAATCTCTGCGTATACGACTAGGCAAGGCATTTGCAGCGGGTACAGGCAGTGCCCTCTTGTGACTGAACATGCGAAGTGCAGGCAGAGTTCGGCTCTGCGGAGCAAACAAGGATGTCACTGCTGTAAAAACGGAGAGGGAGATGTTCCGAGCACCCTTCCCACAGCAAGTCACTGCAGAGCTCAGCTTTAGCTTCTAGGAAGCCAAATGATAATCTTACTGCAGATATAAAACTCAGTTTAAAAAAAAAACAAACCAACCTACCCTTTACACTGAAGAAGTAGGTATTTTCCTGAAAACAGCATTTGCAAGTATTTTTATAAGTGGTTAAATATTTTCAAGATTTTAAAAATACTTATATTGACAGCATTCCTTTTACAGACCCAGGTGGGACTTTTTCTTCATTATTTGTTATTATTACTACAATACTGAGGAAACGCAAAAAAAAAAAAACAACATGTATTTCTACCTAGAAAATGCATGCAAATATGGTGTGCCTTTTAAATGGAAGCAGGCCGGAAGCTACAGCAAGAGCCCAGAAGGAGCTGATCTCCAGGGTTCCTAAGGTAAGCAACACACTAAACATTTAAAAATACATTAATTTTTCCCCACAAGTAAACTACAGTTAGCTGATGCAGTAGCTTTGTGTTGGGTTTCCATTCAGTATCTGGAACTAATGGGTAAGTCACAAATAGCAGACTTAGACCTGATTTGATATAGTTATGCAAGGCCTAAGTTTTCTAGAAATGCTGATATTAAGAGACTATCAAAAATATATAAAAATAAATTCTTCTACAGGTACACAGAATAAGCTAATTCAACACTATATTCATTACTGCTTGTGATGCTCCCAAAACTCCAAGCCCCAAAGAAAGGAACAGAGCCATAAGAATAATAATTTTAATATAATTAATACAGAAAGCACATGGTACATTCCTTTCCAGCAGCAGCTAATTCCACTCTTCCACTAGGGGAAAAAAAAAAAAGTTAAGGCTAGTTGAACACAACCTGATACAACGGTTTCTTTCCCAAACTCATTTTTGGAGATAGCCAAAGTAAGTTTAAGAGACTACTTGTGCACAAAACATGGGATGTTTATTTAGCAAAATATCAAGAACAGAGAAAAACATGCTTTGTTACAGTGATAAAAACACCACACTTTCAAGCTGCTTTCTACACCAACTCAGTTCTGAAACCATGAAGCAGCGTGTTCTGCCTCAGCCTCATGTTGAGCAGCTATCACTGGGGAGCCTGGGGACCAAGTTCACCTATTCCATGGAGTGTAAAGTGCACAAGAAAAATAAGTGCATTGAAAAAAACCCATCTGTGATAAGAAGTAATTCCTCTTACATGCAATACTTGCTTAAAGTGGAACTGTCACAGGCTGTGTAGTGAAACACTATACTACATTTGCAACAGCACAGAATCAGTATCACAGGCATCAGAAAGACTTGTACTGAACATAGGTATTTCAGTATTTTTTCCTCCAATTATCTCCCATGCCAAAACAAGAATTCTCATGCAGCTTATTGTGGCTCTAGGGTGATGTGTAAGGCATCACCTGTAAATAACACCTTCACTTTTCACCCTCCATGTTCAAAATAAGCAAGCAGTTAGTAGTGCAGTGAGTCTTCCCATCTACTACTGATTTGATCCCCTATTTCTAAAAACAATTAGCAGAGTAGGAGCTCGGAGTTTTATCAGTGCAGTATTTATCCCCAAGTATTAAAGTTTCAGTATTACCAAACTTTACATTTTTTACAGGCTGCTAGGAACCATATTTTCCGTTTTCCTACTCACAGGTTAAGGCCATTGATAGCAATACTTAGGAGCCAAACCCTGAAACAATGATCTATTATTAATTTATGGGCACATTCACCATATAAAGAAAAAGAACAACTGATTGGGAGGTTCCCAAGTGCATTAAACACATAAAGGGTTGGGTGAAATCCCTGGAATCTTTGGGCATTACGTTTACCAGCAGTAGATGCTTCAGAATAAAGGCTGCTGCTTCAAAATAGCTTATTCAGATCCCCTACAATAAATGCTGAAGGCTAAAACAGTTTCTTACCCTTGTATAGAAGCTATTTTACAAGTTTCCTTTCACAGTGAAATCACTTTTCTGTCTGTATACTCCTTTCTGAGACCAGAAATAAAAATTGGGGTTAGTTTCCACAACATTTCATTTACACTGCTAGATTATCTCCAAGCCAGTGCAGTACACAATAAAGCAATACTTTTTGGATTAGAAGACTCAGTTGTCAAAACCAATGCTGTTTTTTTAGCTACAGAAGACATATCTGCCTTCTTCACTGATAAGCAATAGACTAACCATGTAATCATATACTGTTTGCAAAACTACTTACTGTTTTGCAACAACATAAAGTGGTTCAAAGGCGCGGGCTGTAGAGTACTGCCAGCACTTCCAAACACAGTATTTGTCACCAAGCAGCGTGCACAATAATGTACTTAAACTCCAGGTTTTCTGCACATTCTCTACATGTACCACAGGAAGAATTCACACAACTTCTTTTCCATTTCCAGCCTAAGGCCAGACAACTGGCAGCAAGAAGCCAAGCAGCTCATACACCCATCTATTTTTAAGTCACTTACGCTAATCAAATATGCATCCTGAAAAAATGGGATTTTTGGTACTTGCACTTGTAGAAAAGAATAGATATTTTGCTACAAGATTATTTAGCTAGAAAACTATAACATGGTTGCCAAGTCCCAGTCTCCCATCTGGCCATAGCAATTCCAAGGCCTCAGGAAGAGGTAAGGTAAAATAATTTTAGGCAGTATTTAATGGCGGGGGGGGGGGGGGTGCTGGGGGAAAGGAGGGAAAGGTGAAACATGTGGAAGACACAAAAGATAACGCATTGGGAAAATGAGATGATAGGAAAGAGACTGCAGACGCTCAGAATGGTCTCACTGGTACATAGGTTTGTGCTTTTAAAACCTTACACTTACCTTGAGATGCTTCTATGGCATCTTTGTCAATACATCTGAGCACCTGCAGCACAGCAGAATGGTATGGAGCCTAGGAAAAGCCAACAGACAGTAACCCACTCACTGACATATGATTATAGAGTCCATCACCTAAACCCTCTCTGAAATTTTTCAGGAGAGAAACAGTTGAGAAAAGAGTTCAAGAGCGAGCAGTAGTACTGAAACTAAAGGAAGAGGTTTTCCAGAAAGCACAGACTAGGTAAGTAAAGCAAGGGAGTGTGGAACTAGGTAAAGGCAAAAACAATAGTGACATTTCCAACAACTTTCTTGCTCAAGAATGAAAAATTAGACCACACTTCATGCAGCAGCTAACAGAACAGATCAACTCCTTCATCACTCCTTGCTTTCCAGGTCACTCCTTCAAACGGCTTTGAGATCTCTAATACTCTGCTGTGGTAGAGTGTGTCCCAAAGAAAGATCCTAGGTTTTCCAAGAACAAAGTAACGCAATTTTCTACAATAGGGGATCAGTCTCCATTGTCTTTAGAAACAGTGGCTTTTTCAAGTTGTATTTTGTGACTTCTCCTTCTATAGACTTGATCCCAAAGAGGAAGTTCTCCATATAAAACATCTTAGTCGAAACTGTACAGCTCATATATATGCAATTTGTACAACCAGATTTTACTGTATACATGTAGTTGCAAGTTTGCTAGTCAGTGTAGACAGAAGTAGCTAAAAAGTAACTAAAACAGTATTTCACTGCAAACAGGAAGCAACAGACTTCAGAGATTAATATTTTACATCAACACAGGTTCACAGGTCTTGCAGCTTTTCAAGTCAGTTTTCATTAGATGGTATACAGTAAAACTCTCATCTACTTTTATATATAGTTTCAGCTTTCCAAGCAGATTTCTAATATTGACCACCAGTAATCCTGAAATGAAGAAACCAGATGTACAACAGATTCTGGGGTAGCAGCTTAATGTACTGTAGAAAAATCAGTTTTGTTTAATCAAGGTCTAGAATCCACTTCAGTAACATTCCCTGAGGCAACCCACTATTTTATTGTTTGATTCTCCAATCATTTGTATATAGCTGCTCTTCTGTTCTAGACTGCTTTGTTTCATTAAAAATAGACAGTTAGAAAAAGACATCTGTTGACTTTCATTGCTAATTTTGTATTTCAGCAACTATGCTTCCCCTTAATACGTTCTTCCCCTCCTCAAGTCTTTTCGCACAAGATAGGAGTTCAGATCTTTAAACAAATGTTAATTTTTGAAGAAGAAATATGTGAACTGGAAAGAATGTAGCAGACAGATACAGAATAGAATTAATATGCAATGAACAGTCTAAAAATTTATCTTGCTAAAGCTGAAGTTGTTCTCTCTATTGAAGACAGAATCTGTGGTGCTAAAAAAACCAAGGATGCAGAGAAGTGGTGGGGTGGAGGGTAGAGAAACAGAAGAGAATCACCATCCCTGATCCACAGAAACACACTGAGCAAGAACCCAGTGTATCTTTACATGCTCAATGGACTAAGGAGGTTTCTCCTGATACAACTCCACCTTTAACACGTAAAAAAAAGCCGGTCTGTAATCAATGCACTTAAAGCTTTTAATTTTTAGTAACTTCACTTAGACTTTGTTTATAAAACAAACACACAAGCACACTTCCCAGAGTGCAAAATGCTTAAATATTTCAATTACAGAACTCCACATGTAGTTTTTGGAAGAGTGATCCTTTTGCTCTCATAGTCAATTTCTTCCATTGCCAGCAACGGTTGCATTAAAACTAACCAAAACATGCAGCAAATGCAGCAGTCAATAACTCTGTACTGTTTCTTCAGTTTTCCAGAGGCCATTGCTCATTTGTATAAACTCATTGTTGGACTTTGATACATGCACATGTACGCATCACAAAGTAGTCTTCTTGCACAACCTTGAATTTTTCTGGAATCTAACGAGTGTAATTCTTCTAGAGACATCTTCAGATATTCACCAACTTCTGGACATGGAGTAACTTGCGGAATGTTAAAGCCATTCTGACCTCCTTTGAACCATAAGAAAAAGGAACAGATTAGGATAGCAGCTATATGCATTTGCTCTTTGAAATGTATTTTAATTATGACAGCATCACCAGTTCCTGAAAATACCTTCTACAGAAATCTAAACATGCCCTTCTGGTCTACTGCAGAGTAAACATCTAAGAGAAGTGTATCGGTCAAGAAAGATATCACCTTTGGTGTCAGACTATCTTGTAGCGTTTACTAACAAAACACCCACACAAACACCCCACCAGAGAAAGAACTTTAGGTTCATTAACACTAAAAATTCTGTGTGACTGTGGGAAGGTGACCTGAATACATACCCCACTTTGAATGCTAGTGAATTGGTTAATGATATGAGCAAACCATGTTTGTCTGTACTTGACTTGTCAGACTAAGTCAGGGTTTGCTCCTGGCCATTTTCCATGTAAAAATAAGCACACTCAGCCAACACAAGTGTGAACATCCATGACACCATTCCCTACTAAATGTTTTTAGCTTATAGCTAAAAAAAAAAATAAAAAAAAAACAGCTGAAAAAAACAGTATCTGTGATAGAGAAAAATCTAGTATCAGCAGGACATATACCCAGTGAGTATCTATCTCATATGATCTACACCCCTGAAATAAACTCGTTGTCTACGCACTTGAGTCTTACATGTTTTCAAGCACTCTGAAACAAAGCTTGATTGCCTTCTGGTTGTTACAAGAAAGAGACTTTAATCCTGCAGCAGCTTCACTTTCAACAGGAGGCAAGATTCTTTCCCCCCCTACCAAATCACACTGTACATGAGGGTTCAAGAATTCTTCATGCAGAGCTGTTACTATGAGTCTGACATGTCATCTATTGCAGTTTTTCTCAGGCACCAGAATTAAACAGTATTTAATACAGCATTATCCAAGAGAACACTTGTTTTACTGACATTTGTTTTATTATAGAGTTATCAGTGGAAAACTGTTACTCTGAAGAGATTCAAAGGAAAGGCAGAGATGTAGTTAACATGTAACTATTTCTTTTATTCTAAAGACACCTAGGCTAAGTCATTTAAGCAAAAGCAATAAAAATATTTGCATGCTATCCAATAACTCTGTACATCCACTTAAATATAGCCTGAAAAAACATTCCTGCAGTTAAAATTAATTCCCTTTGTCAAACTTGCGAAACATAGAAAAGTGTCTAAAAGTCCCACCAGAAAACCAGGGCAGTTATTGCTATACCAGCTACTTACCAATTGGATTATCCATCCAATTTAGATGAAATTCAGATCATGAAAATCAGTGGCTGCTATAAAATCAATGCACTGAGGTAAGGCTGGGTCAAGATTAGTGTCCCAGCATCAAATGCATCAAATTAAACAATATTAATATCCCCAACACTTTAAGAAAGAGGCACTGAAATTCAAACTAATAATAGAAAGTAAAGAGAAAAGTAGTAAGAATAAATAAAAGGTCTACCATCCCGATCTGCCATGCTGTCAAAGAAGAGCCAGGCGGAATCATCCCTCCCATATTTAACAAAAGCTACATAGTGGCTTGTTTCTATGCAGAGAACAGCAAACAACTCCATCTTCTGGTACGGAATGCAGCCGTGTCGCCAGTCCCAGTCTGGCAGGTCTTTAGGTAGTGACAACGGATTGAATTTATGACTCTGTCTCTTGGGATGAAGATGAACCTACAATTGAAGTGATATTTCAGAAGAGAGAAACTACCCCATAAGATTATTTGTTTCAGTGCCAGACAAAGCTAAAAAGAACATTACTGCTGAACTGAAGATTAGTGGCATTAGAGAAGGAGCTGCAGTAATAGTAGCAGACTAAACAATTCTTCTACTTCTCCCCACTACTGTAGTTCAATATTGCCCAGAAAATTCAAATCTAAAGTTAGAAGGGAGGTCAGATTTAATGCAACCTTTTTCTAGTCTGGTCAGACTTAAAAACAAGCTATAGCTATGACAGCTTCATGCAAGTTACCAAACAGTTCAAAATTAAGTGATTCTGTCATGAATTTATCAATTGAAACAAGGTACCATATTATACGCTTAAATTCTAAACCAACAATAGTATGTGTGCCTTTAACACAGCAGAATAGACAAAACTTCTCTAACTTCTTAACATGTAGAGAGAAAGGAATGTTCAGCTGATGGGGGAAGAAACATCACAGGACTGGTAACAACTAAGGCGACAATAAATAAGACCAAGGATGCTGGCCTTCAAGATAACAGAGAGGTACCCAACATGGAGTGAGACTGGAACAGGAGAGAAACAAGGACATACCAACTGTCAACTCAGCACTAGGACCTCACAAGCATGCACAAGCACTGAGGTCATTCAGTAAACACAATGAAGAAGACTATCAGGGACCACCAGAGACCCCCACTCAGAAAGAAAGCACATGCATAGCAAATATTATAATTAGTTCCAGGAAATCTCATGAATATGTCAACAGTTCCCTGGAAAAGCTGTAAATATGCACAAGTATGCTAAATATATAGCTGCTGTTGGCAAGTTTCAGGTGTGCTCACCTTTGCGAAACAATTTGCGTGTGGGCCCAGTGCCGCGATAAAGAATGCCGTTTTCTAAAACTTCAAATTGAGTCTTAGAGAGTTTCTCCAACCAACTTTTACAGTAACAATTTATGTTAAATTATGATTTAAAGCAGGCAACAGTAAACAAGATTCCAATTTGCTTATGATTACCTCTTCACTGTATTCCATCCTGGATCTGTCAGTTGCCATGTTTTTAGTCAGAAATTATCAGTGAATACATTGCAGGGTCAAGTGGAGTCCCTAATTTTGTCACCTGGTGAGCACAGTCACACTAGTGCTGGTGAGAAAAATCTCACTCCGCTCTTATGCCTTTCTTTTAATTATTACAGCATACACCATTTGGGTTAAACCTGCACAGAGTAACAAAGACAACTTACCTGTGTATTGCACGTTTTGCAGAACTGTTTGATTTTCCCAGCAGAAATATCAGTATCTTCGTAACATTCTCTGCACTCATACATAGCGAGCCCTCCACATATGCGGCACTGCCTGGGAGCTGCATTTTAAAAGAAGGTATTAGTCTCCAATTCAGGGAGGCTTTTTTTGGTTTAAGACCAGGGGTATAGAAAGGAGTGAGAATTATGACTTCAAATTGAAAAAAGCCCACTACATTGAAAAAACAGCTAGAACCAGACTGCAAATCAAAGCAAAATTGTACCACAGTATTTAACTTTTCTTTGACATAATGTAGAATAAGAGAAAAACACCGAGAGTAGGAAATTGCAAAACAGTAAGTTCTGTCAACTGCATGAACAAGTGAAAGCAGGCTTTTACATAAAATTAGTTCTCTTTCATCGTACTGGTCCAGCTTAGCCCCTAGGTCTGTCAACACCAGGGAAAAAAAAATAAAATATTGTAAGCTGATGGCCATGACAGAGATTATTATTCTAAATAATAAAAATTATTATTTTAGAATTCTAATTCTCTTTATTATTTTAGAGATTATAATTTTATTATTTTAGAGATTTTTCTAAAATGTTAGTGGTTTTATGAATTCTTATCTCACATTTAAAAGTGGGTGTCTTAGGTGATGCAATGAAAAAATTCAGTCACAAAAAAGTGATCCAATTTATAGTTTAAAAATGCACCATTGCTAGATGCTGCATATTTACGCACTAATCTCAGCTTCTCTTCTTCTGGTTTGATGAACTGATGACAAAAAGCTTAGGAACAAGCAGCACAGACTGATGAAGACTAATGAAACATAGTCAACATTGTAAATACCTGTTAAGCAATCTCAGTGCTACACTTACTTAGCTTTTAAGATTTCCTACCTGCATATTAACAAATTGTTTTGCTGCTAATAACTCAATTTTAACAACACTGTCTTAAAATAAAAAGTTTAGTTGTAGAGATACTCAAGAATTAAACATAATCAAGTACGTTATATTTTGTATAGTTATAAGCAACATATAAGCAAGTTATATTGTCTGTTCTGAATTACAGCTTTTAACTGACATAAGAAAAAAAATAGCATTCAGCATTCTAGCTAGTAATTGTTCCTTTCCCCTCAGCCTGAGCATCTCGCACTACCTGGTTAAATATTTTATTAAAAACCAAACAAATCCCCAAAACTACCAGGTGTACTTACTTTGACTGTGTCAAGTCACTCTCAACAAATCTTTCATTATACAAACACAATGTTATATACTTACTGTCTTCAAGTAAGTCTGTTATATTTAATTCCAAGGATGGAAAAATTTTGTTGAACATTTTGAAGTCTTTTCCAAACCGAGGCATCTGGATGATCAGGCAAGAAGGTGCCTAGGTAAATTGCCAGAGTATAATGTAACAAGCTTGAGATAGACAATTATCTAAATTTAGAGAGATACATCTAACACAATAAGCATTCATGTTATTTAAAACTTGCAGGCTGTTGACTTCAAAATTAACAAGAGGGTAAGCAAAAGAGAAGTCTGAGTGAAAAAAAATTAAATATAGGTTATATAAAAGCTTATATAAAGCTTATATAAAATATAGCTTTTTAGCTTACAGCTAAAAAGCAAAACAAAACAAACAACAGGAAAGCGGCATCTAAACCATTGTCAAATATCGTTACATCCCAGGCACACTCAAGTAGGATAGTAAATGTACTGCACTACACTCCCCCATGGCATGGGTAAATCTTGCTTTATAAAGCTTTTTACCATGTATCTCAAAATACTAGTTCTTAAAGCAACTTACTGGCGGTAACTAAGTTTTCTTTTAGTAATTCTTTACCTAAATTACTTTGGTATTTTCAGCCAAAGGATACATGTCATTAAGGCAATCTTAAAATATTTCTGTAACATAGGCAACCTTTACCACTGACATAGCACTCCCTTTGCAAATAATGCCTGCACTTTGTTGTCACACCAAAATTCCACTCTTATTCCATTGCTGAATGAGCAAACATCCAAGTATCAACACTAACTGAGCAACAGCTGTCACCTACCTCTGCAAACTTCAAGTTGCTGTTGATGAATGACCACTCTAGTAACTGCTGAATTGTTGGGACTCCGACTTTCTCATTTTTGTCCATAAAAATCTGATAGAAGTAACAGTCTTGTACTTTCTGACCTGCTGATCTAAAAACAGATTAAAAGAAAACAGATTTAGAAGCTTTACTGCAACAATGACTGTATTTTCCTAGTAAAATAACACCTACCAGAAAATAGCCTATACAACATCCTCTCTGCGTTGAAACAGATTCTTGCAAAAGCAATCCTAATACACAAAAAATCCCCAAGCAAATACACCACCCCCCACAGCCCTCCTTCCCTCAGCCAAAAAAAAAAAAAAAAAAAAAAGAAAAACCAAGAACCACAAAACCTCAACATTTTATACTGACAGAGAGTGGGGCAAAAGATTAAGCTACCAATTTAAATAAGCTTCAAGGTCAGATGTTTCAAAACAAAGTAGAAATTCAGTACTTAAATTTTCACGTTATTTTTCTCTAACATAAATGTAAATCTGCAACACTTGGGAAAAGAGATTCAGATGAGTAATACAACCCACTCTGGAAGGGCATAAGAAAGTACACAGAAGACTCTGCTCACATTGTAGGAATAGATTTTGCTATCATGGACAAAAAGCACACAGGAGAAACCAATATCAAAAGAAAGAAGTTAGGTAGGAGTTGTTTCACCCCAATGTTCCTGGGAACATTCATCACATTTGCTAAAAATGGTAACCTCCTCCCATCCCAGCTAACATTTAAGACAACACTGCTTTTCAGAATACTCAGGTGTTGAGAGGATTCTAGCAGTATGATGCACTCAGAGTCACTATTATTAATTTTAAGCCTACTTTTAAGAAGAAAGGAGACTTCTGAATTACTCTTTAAGAGTTAAGGTAAGTGCACAACACACACCATTTTCAGTGCTAAAAGCTGAATGGTAGAACCTAACTTCTGTTCCACTCTGTATAGCACAGACATGACAAAAACCTCAAAGGCCAAGGTTTATAAAAGAGGGTTAAAGAAACATTGAGGAAATGTACAAGTGGAGTAAGAGGCATTTGCTTTTACTTTACTAATTTCAGCTGCGATTTAGAATCATAGAATGATAGAATAGTTAGGGTTGGAAAGGACCTTAAGATCATCTAGTTCCAAACCCCCTGCCATGGGCAGGGACACCTCACACTAAACCATATCACCCAAGGCTCTGTCCAACTTGGTCTTGAACACTGCCAGGGATGGAGCATTCACAACTTCCTTGGGCAACCCATTCCAGTGCCTCACCACCCTTACAGTAAAGAACTTCCTTATATCCAATCTAAACATCTCCTGTTTAAGATTTAACCCATTGCCCCTTGTCCTGTCGCTATAGTCCCTAATGAAGAGTCCCTCCCCAGAATCCCTATAGGCCCCCTTCAGATACTGGAAGGCTGCTATGAGGTCTCCACGCAGCCTTCTCTTCTCCAGGCTGAACAGCCCCAACTTCCTCAGCCTGTCTTCATACTGGAAGTGCTCCAGTCCCCCGATCATCCTTGTGGCCCTCTTCTGGACTTGTTCCAACAGTTCCATGTCCTTTTTATGTTGAGGACACCAGAACTGCACACAATACTCCAGGTGAGGTCTCACAAGAGCAGAGTAGAGGGGCAGGATCACCTCCTTCAACCTGCTGGCCACGCTCCTTTTGATGCAGCCCAGGATACGGTTGGCTTTCTGGGCTGTGAGCGCACACTGAAGCCAGCTCATGTTCATTTTCTCATCAACCAACACCCCCAAGTGCTTCTCCTCAGGGCTGCTCTGAATCTCTTCTCTGCTCAACCTGGAGCTGTGCCTGGGATTGCTCCCACCCAGGTGTAGGACCTTGCACTTGTCATGGTTAAACTTCATGAGGTTGGCATCAGCCCACCTCACAAGCATGTCAAGGTCCCTCTGGATGGCATTCCTTCCCTCCAGCGTATCAACCGAACCAAACAGCTTGGTGTCATCGGCAAAATTGCTGAGGGCGCACTCAATCCCACTGTCCATGTCACTGACAAAGATGTTGAGCAAGACCGGTCCCAACACCGATCCCTGAGGGACACCATTCGTTACTGCTCTCCAGCCAGACATTGAGCCATTGACCACAACTCTTTGCATGTGCCCATCCAGCCAGTTCTTTATCCACCGAGTGGTCCATCCATCAAATTGATATCTCTCCAATTTAGAGACAAGGATGTCGTGTGGGACAGTGTCAAACGCTTTGCACAAGTCCAGGTAGATGACATCAACTGCTCTACCCCTGTCCATCAGTTCTGTAGCCCCATCATAGAAGGCCACCAAATTGGTCAGGCAGGATTTCCCCTTAGTGAAGCCATGCTGGCTGTCACCAAGCACTTTGTTGTTTTTCATGTGCCTTAGGCATGCCTTCCAGGAGAATCTGCTCCAAGATTTTGCCAGGCACAGAGGTGACACTGACTGGTCTGTAATTCCCTGGGTCATCCATTTTCCCCTGCTTGAAAATGGGGGTTATATTTCCCTTTTTCCAGTCTTCACGAACTTCACCTGACTGCCCAGATTTCTTAAATATGATGAAGCTTAGCAGCTTCATTCACCAGCTCCTTCAGGACCCACGGATGGATTTCATCAGGTCCAATGGACTTGTGTACGTTCAGGTTTTTCAGATGGTCTCGAACCAGATCCTCTCCTACAGTGGGCCTAGGATCATCGTTCTCACAGTCTCTGCATCTACCTTCCAAGACTTGGGTGGTGTGGTCGGAGCCTTTGCCAGTGAAGACTGAGGCAAAGAAGTCACTAAGAACCTCAGCCTTCTCCAAATGCACAGCAGCACATCTGTTAACTACCAAAAACTAGAAATACATTCTCACATGAAGACCTATTATTCTAATTATATTAATAATAAAAACCATTATTATAATTATACTATGGTACCTCAGCTGTTTCACCAAAATAATACATAAGCCACAGGGGTTTCTCAGAATGTATTTCATAGAATTGAAAGAGGCAGTAGTAACTGTGAGGGTCTTAAGATGGCAAGCTGTTCTCTGAACACTTCTTTATATAAACCAAATACGTACTTGAAGTTACTAGTTTTTGTGGTTTGTGGTGTTTTTTTGGTATTTGGTATTTTTTTACCTAACAGTAGGCCTTTGTCTAGGCAGAAACAGGAACACAGCTCCAAATTCACATCTATATGCCTTGATCACTCATCCTTTCCAATTCTTAAGATTTGCCTATAGAACCACCACAGAAGGTAGCCTCAGTACTCTCACATGTCATCTACACAGTGAACTACAGCACACTGCATACTGAACTTGTAGCCAGTGCCATAGGTCCCATATCTCTGCACACTACAACAGACAGTGGGCACTTACCTCACACTGCTGAGCTAAAGCAGCATATAAAATAATACAATTCCTGTGATGAGGAAAGGACTGAAAAACTATGGACACTGGGGCAAACCCCACCTGCCAAAAAAGGTAGATGTCAAATTTGTCAATAGAACTTTATTATATTGAATCCTGTTAGAAATATGAATCATAACAGTGCTCTAAGAGATCAACTGGAAAGGCAGCAGATAGATAGTCTCTCACCAGCCTCTACAAATAGACAAGTTCAACAAACAGAAAACGACTCACCTTATTTTCAACAGTGGCTCAACTCTTAAAATATGGTGAAATAAAATATTCAAAAATTCTTCTGGATCTGCAGGAAGAGGGAGAAAAAAAAAAAATCCTGTTAGTACGCAAAACCAGATACATTATTCAAGACTGATTTTAAATATGTGTTTCCAAAATTTTAATAGGAACAGAAGTAAAGGATCATTTTTACAGCTTTATTAACACTAGTAAGATGACAACCTATGAAGACTTTCATGACACAAAAGTATTTAATCTTTTGGTGTCAAACAGTCCTAATAAAAGACACAGGCTCAACAGGGTAAAAAAACCATTTCCAGTAAAGATCAGAAAGATGCTCTCTACTTCAGGGGAATCATTTGGCATCATGCAACTGTTAGAGGAGAAATAAAACCTTTTAAAGAAAACAATGAAACTGCAGTGAAGCGGTGAGGAGCGGTGACAGTAACACACAAAAACCACAAAACAGCATGAAGTTCATCTAAACTAGAGACTGAATTTTCCAATCAAGAATGCAGCCAACAGTGGCTTCCCAGAGATCTATTCTCCCCAAACACTTGAGAGTTTTCTGATGTATTTCTCTTCCTGCCACTAACTAATAAATACTGGTTTTCAGCATTTAACATTTACAAAGAAATTAGTGCTCTCCCCCACAAAAAAAATTAAACAGCTATATAATACAACACTAGTTAATCATTATATGCAGCAAAAGATCAAAAGGTTGGGAATTTATTTTTCTAACATGATTAACACATTTTATTTCTTAATATACTACATAACCATTATGACAATGAAATGTTGTAGTGTAAAGATTATTCCTCAGGGACCAAAGGGACATTTTGAAAGAGGAGAAAGACCTCAGCTTTATTACAATCTTCATTTCTGAGAAAAAGCCTTAGATCTCCCCTCACTGCTAGAAGGCAGGGAAAGAAATCCAGTCTTTTGCTGACTTACAGCAGAAACTGTTCAGCTAGGGCTCGTCACATATTAAGGAAACAGAAGAGTCCTTTTTACCATCCAATGGTCACTCAGATCTCTGGTGGAGATAATACTGCTACAGAGATATATATGTGTGGTTCAAAGAAAGAAAAACAACCTTATTTACCTTTTTCCTCTGAAGTGAATCCTGATGCAGCTTCAACTTTTTCAAGTATTTTCCTCAGTTTCATTATTTTTGTAGCACATACATATCCATATCTAAGATAAATCGGTTTAATAAGCTATTAGCTAGTTTGTGATCAAGTCAAAAAAGGAGAAAAAACCTCTTAAATGCTGAAATACAGGCTCTCAGATCCCTCTTTACCTGTGTACAATGTTGCTTCAGAACTATGACTGACTCCCAGTTTTTTCAATGCAGTATAATTTCAGCGAAGGGCTTAATGTCCTTACATAACCTTTAAGACCTCTTTTTAAACATTAACTTACCACGGTATCTGTTTTCTGATCTGTCAGTCAGTTACTTTTGATTTGTTTTCACTCTATTTCCATCAGTTAATACATTTTCAGAATGTCACATAACAGCACTGTGGGCGTTGTTAACAAAATATTTCAGTATTTGAGAAAAAAAGATACAGAAGCTGAAGTTTTCAGCATTCAACCTTTTCCTCTAAAACTTTACAAGAAGTGCAAATAAAGACTTGGTGGAAAGGGAGGAGAAGTAACACTTTCAGTCTTCTCAGCCACTTTTTCTGCTGACCAGGGTATATCCTACCCTCTATACCAGAAAACCCTGGAAAACACCATGCAAAGTACACACACCTGTATAAGAACAAGAATTCAGAAGCCGTCATTTTATTCCAGGAATCCAAAGAAAAATTTTTTAATAAATTGTTCAGTGACTGCCCACAGAATTTCAGAACTACATGTTTAAAAAATAAAGTTATACACAAATAACTTTTCATCCAGATTTTTGCCATATTTCCTTTGTTTATTGTGCCTAAGAAATTACAAAGCTCATGTTAAGTTGTTTAAATGTCTTTTGACCTCTTGCGGACTACATATAGGAACTAACAAAACTTTTAAAGCCCCAACAAATCTATCAAATTGTGAAACTCCACATAAGATAATTCAAGTACTCTTCTTGTCAGCAACAGCATTAAAAACACATAAATATGAACACTATGAATACATATATTCTGCATTTATCAATGCAAATTTTACGTTAGCTTTATGCTGCAATTTCCAGAGACCAGTGAAAATATTTTATCAGCAAACAATGAATAACTATTTCCAGCTAGCACTGCTTAAATTTACCATGCTGAATAAGTAAAAATACTCAGTCCAACCAACGGAAAAGACTGGCAGCAGCAGCTAGCTAAATTCTTTAGATTTGCAATAGGAATGCATACAAAGAATCTGGTGTAAAATTTTATATTAGACCAGAGACAAATTAATGTCTTTACTCACATTCTCAGAGGATTCACGATCTCTGTCCTCAACAGCTCTTGGGTCTCACTATAATACTCTACATCATTCTTTTCTTTAGGTCTGAGTAACACAGTGTCCAAAACAGAGCTAAAAGAAAACAGGCTAGGAAGAAAAAAAGAAAAGGAAGGTTGTTTTGATTCTGGAAGATACAACCACTCAGATGCCTGAGCAATGTAAGACAAACCAAGCAAAGCCACAGGAAGAATTAATAGAACTAAATAAACTAAGAAAGATATAATTAAGGACAGAGGACAACACAGCTGTACTAAACAGGAAAAGACCACTCTAATCCAGTGTCCTTTTTACAGCAGAGTACAAAACCAGTTGCCCAGGATTCTGCAAATATAAGAGATTATTTCCCTCCCTCCACCACCCAGCCTGTGCACGCTCATCCTTCTGTGCACGCGCATCCTTCAAAAATTATCAGGCCAGGGATTCAGTCAAAAAGAGTATGAACACATAAGGGCCAGAACAATTTGGACATGATTAGCACTTGTGTTCTGCTGCAAATGCTGCAGAAGCTCTTCAGATTGGAAGAGCACAGTAACGTGTCAAAGGTTGCAGTGCATGACTTTGTAGGCTGCGCAGCAATACAGACAGACAGTCATTACAACAAAGATCACACATTGTGCATTTGTAGCATGGGATGCCACTATACAAATTATGAACTTACCAGAATAAGGTGGAGTCTAAGTAACAGGAGTTGTAATGACCCTGGATACCTTTCTTCTTTCCAATCATTGTCTCTAAACCTTCTTTTTCCATTTTTGGAGGAGTGTTTTCTTCTACCACTTCACTTAAGTAACCTCCAAAGGCTGAAAGTTTTTTTTTCAAAAAACACTTTAAAGCCTCAAATTTTATCCTCCTTGAGATTTTCCTATTAATGTTTTATAGCTAAGTTGCTGCCTTAGTGTGTAAGCATTCCTTCTCTGGACTAGCATAGCATTTTATTATAGCTGAGACTCACTGCTTCCAGACAGTGAACAAGGCTTTACATACCACTGACAATGCACATTAGAGTGCTTCAGAAAGCCTGGAGCACTGAATTAATTTTACCCAGTAGGAATGAAGTTCTCTTCTCATTATACATGCCCTGATCTATCTTACAAGTATCAGACACTTGTTTCTTTGCTTTTGTCTCAGGCTATAAAACATAACCCAAGAAATCTCAAATACTTGAAGTCAGGAAAAAAACCTGAGCTTTTTACTAACTTCTACCATTCAAATACATGCTTTTCTATGTTAAGATTTAGGAAAACACTAATCTGACATTACAGAAAAAGATTATTATAACTATCTTAATTTCTGATAATGCAGTCAACAATCTCTAGCATTGCAAATACCACTTTCAGCAAGATTGCTTTGAAATTGCTAAAGATTTACAGCATAACACAAAAAAACCCTCAATTTTATGAATTTCTTTAAATATATGAACAATTTCTTGTTTTAAAAGATAATGCATAGAAGAGTTATGTTCTGTACAGACTGATAATCTATAATTATTTATCTCATTTATGTAATACCTGTACAGATTTTCAAGTGTTCCATACAAATAACATATTGCAGAAATAAATTAAACCAAACCCCAGGTCAGTTCCCAGCTGATAAGTAAGTAGAAGCTCAGTACCTAGAGAGTTGCAGCGTTCAATCTGGTTGGAAACTGGCTGTAGTGAGGCAAACCTGGAATCTGGCCTGCAGCTTTTGAGTTTAACAAAAAGAGCTTTCTTCGGAGCACACGTGAAGTATCGAGTTCCCTTAAATGTGCCATCCGTGCAACCTGCACATTCATCTTCCTGAAAATTCAAGTGAGAATTCACTGTTTCTTATTTCTAGAATTCTGGAGTAAAACATTTGACAGTATCTCTACCCATAGATCACCCTTCAGATACTCTGAAACTTGATATACAATGTTCTTGAATTTTAGCATACAAAGCTCCAGCTGAGGTAGTCTTTAACTGGATTTATTGAGAAAATTTAGAGTCTCATTTTTTTTCCTTCATGCTTAAACTTTCACTCCATCCAAAATAAAAATTCCATCAGAAGCAGCTTGGGGGGGTAGAAGAGGAGAGCAAGAATTAAACCTGTCAACATTAGGAACTTAACTAAGCTAGCCAGTAACTCCAGATACCTTCTGTAGTTAGAAAAAGCACACATCCACTACCAAGCATCTTTTAAAATGGTATTAAAATCACTAAGCACTAGATAGTGTGAATACTTCCAGGGTGACTGTCACCTACACAGAAAAAAATACCTTCTGTGTGCAGAACACACAAAATGTAATCAAGGAAAGACAACACAAACTAGGTATGAAAAATAACAAGTTTTCATTAGTGATTTTTGACAACAAGATTTAAGGTATACTGTCTGCTTACTAACAACTGCTAAGTTTTAACATAGAAATGCCTGATGGGCAAGTCCGAGACCCTAGTTCAACACAAGGCACTCTAAGATGCAGCCTCAGAACACCTGTGGCAAATGGTAGCTTGAGCTTCACCAAAAAAAAAAACAAAAAAAACCCAAGCTGAAATTCCAGTCACATTCTCACCTACTTTGCTAAAGATATCTGTTGTTTTACATAATTGTACCCTGCTCTGAAATGTTACTGAACATGACGCCAAAATAAAGAACCACATCTCCCTAACTGCATACACACTTACTTAGCTGATAGCCACTCACAACCTTGGCAGCAGCTGCCAAAGAGCAAATGTCAGCACATAGCAGCAATTCACGGTTGCAGCAACTGTGAATTTACAAAGGGCCCACAAAACACACCAAGCACATGGCTGTTAAATTAACAGCATCACTACTAGCAATTATCAGAACTAGTGTTCTCTCTGCCAGTCGTGGCTCTAACCACTGCCCGTTTGCTGGTATGCAAAAAATAAAACACACAATTGATATTCAATAAAGACTCTTACAGTCAGGGCATTTTATGTAAACCTGCATTTTAACTTTTCTCAATTAATATCTCCATAACATAAGCAAAGGGCACTCATTTAAAAGTAAGCGAACAGCCCTAGAAATTCCATTACCCATTGTGACACAGATACCTCAGGGCCTACCAACGGAGTAAGGTATAGGCCAGCTACAGAAGTCAGAACTCACTTAAGCTGCTCTATAAAGAGATCACATGGCAACCTGTTTGACCAAATTCCTCCAGACTGCTTTGCAAAGCATAAAGGCACCAACTCTCAGAAACAGAGCTAACATTAATATGAACTACAACTTATATTTACCAGTTCCAGTCCAGCTAATACTTCATTTACTCCAGGGGGCTGGCCAATCCATCGGATTACTCCATAGAAAGGAGGATTTTCTTTAACTTCAGCCAAGGAACCTGCTTCAAGACCATGCGAGTTCCCAACTGGGTCTGCTGATGATGGACTCTCCTGGTTTGCTGTAGTATTTACATCACCAATGACAGACTGAACAGATAAAGAGAGAGGACTATGTCCAATAGTAGTACCAGTACCATTAGCACTTGATGTTTTTGTCAAGCTGAAAGGGAGGGAGTGAAATCTGTTTTCTGTAGACACAGAGTTCGTTAAAGGTGGCTGCAGTGGTGGTGAAGAATGTCCAAATCCAGGAGATGAATCACTAAGTGATTTTGCTGGGTCTTCAGCAGCTGTTAAAATCAAAACCAGGATATCAGTTAATGTTGGTATGTTTTTTTTCCTTCCCATTTTAAGAAAAGAAATACTTAGCTATCAAACCAATGAAGTGCATCTGCAAGCCCATCAGATTTAATGGGTGCCCTGTGTAGGAAGCACTAACAGGTGGGAACATGTAGGAAGATGTTTGTCACTTGGCAACACTGGGGAGACAAAACTGGCTGAGCAGACACTGCTGAAATACCACCACTTTTACCACAAACAACAGAAACAAATAACAGAAAGGAGATGTTAGCCAGAAACTACAAGAAGGTTTAGACTGAAAACATTGTTTTTTTTAAGTCCTTTAGCCCCACATCAGATTTTTTTTCTCTGAATTCAAGTTAACAGCCCCAAGGATTATGACTGTAATGGACATATGGAGAAATCATTGGTCAGTGTGACTGAGGAAAGGATGTGGTTCTCAGCTCACACAGAGATGTGTAATTGCTTGCAGAGATGATCTGCAAATGCAAAAATGTTTACTGCCCTTGCTCCATCACAATATACTTTGGTTTTAACATAAAGAATCTATCAGGGTCTGTAAAGAATTAAGGATTTCAATGAGTAATGATTAATGCAGAGCGTGATAAATAAGATCACAACTAGGTGTAACAGCACAAGTGTTCTGTATCTTCTCTCATCTCTCTACATGGCCTCAATATACAACTGGTATTCACAGAGCAAAAGCTTCTTCTTCGCATCTCTTCTCCCCATGCTGTTTTATTAACTGAAGTTAATGTCCAAAAATTTTAATCCTTTACTTCCACAGTCCTTTCTACATAGGATATTTTCCTTGTTTATTTTAAATATTATAATAAACTACTTTTTAAACAGAGTTACAAACTGTTGGAACAACATCTTCAAAGAACAATTTGAATTTGCTTTTACAGTTCATGGAATTCAGGGACTACTACTGCTATAGGCTTCCATTGTAAAATAACATTAGTATTTACCTCTTCAGTCACTACCCAGCCAGCCACACTTAAGACAAATCAAGATATACTGATCCTTTAGGTATGTGCACCCATACTTGGAAGAATTCAGAGAGAGATTTTATAACATAACCTCAAAAAATACTGTAAAAAATTTATGTGCTTATTCAGATTAATTACACCCCCAACCCCAGACTGATTAGCTGGCATGGCAGAATACTAGAGTTCCTTCAGGTCTATAATATTAGCTACAAAAAGACAGACAAAATAAAATTACTCTATACACTTGGCTGCAAGGAATATCTTCGTATCTTCCTTCCAAGACTCAGCTTTTATTTTGCCTGCAAGACGTGTATTCCTACGGAGCTGCGCACACACTGCCAAGAATGCAGTCTCCTATATGCAGGATAAAACCACAGGTCTGCCAATTAAGGCAGAGTATGTTTCCGTGGAGGTTCCAAGATGCTTTTTAGGATACAGTATATCTTCCACTAAGACAATATATTCCAATTGCTTTAAATTGAAACTCATACTTGTTTTATTTGAAAAACATCAGCACACTCTAGTTCTGTTTGGTTTTTTAAATAAACTGTATGCCTACATGAAAGACTATAATCTCTCTTTACCTTCATCAATATACCATGGGGGTTTTGCTTTTGTTTGAGGCTGAGAGTCAACCGATGAGCCATTTAACGTGTAGAAGGCTTCAGATCTGTTTCTTTTTCCAGTTTCAGAGGTAGATCCTGGAAAACAACATAAAGAGATTAATCTCCATCTATAAAAGGTTAGCTACACTCTTATTTCATAATATAAATTTGTTACTATACTTTCAAGAGGACAAAACTGCCTTTGCACAAAGCAGCAAACTCTCCCCATCAAAGCTAACACAGATCTAAGTTTGCTACAAGGTAACAGTTTATCCCAAACCAACTTAGTCCTCCAAACTAAAATTTCAAGTCACCAACCTGATGGCAGCAGAATATACCCCACAAGTGCCAGTTTTTCATTGCTGTAAGTTACGGATATAAGAAAGTATTTGAGATACAGCGTACAGCATGTATGTTTGGGTTTTAAAGCAACAAAAAAAAAATAAAATAAAATCAGAGTAGGCAGATGAATTGCAGATCTAATTCCACACAGCTATGACTTGGGCCAACATAAAACCACAGTTACTTGACGGAAGACCATTTCTGTCAGCATCCAGTGCCAGGCGGAATGAAAGCTTACAGGATATACCGTCATTAGTATTCTACAACCCAAACCACACACTAGTAAACTCAGAACACTGATTTTTGATTTCTGCCTTTTTAAAATTAAACAGTTTCCCTTACAGGTTTTGGTTTGGGGTTTTTTGGTTGGCTGGTTGGATTTTTTTTGTTCGTTTTGTTTTGTTCTTTCCCCTGACAGATTTTCCCTAGAAGGATTCTTCCCTTGGAAGAGCTGGCCAAAACCAGAGTAAGAAGAAGTTTATTCAAGACTTCAATCTTGGTTTTGAATTGCAGCAAAATTAACTATTTACTATCGAGTAGATCTGCTCCTGGGCTAAAAATTTGGCCATTTCTAGTCCTGCAGAAGGGAGACTATATTTATTAAAAAATAAAAACCAAAACAAACAGCCACACTTTCAGAAAACAGAATACAGCTCTGAAATGGTTATAACAGACAACAAGCTAATATGCTCCTGAAGTTTTGCTAAACCTCAAGCTGTTTTTCATGAAAGTGAAGGTGTTTTGAGCAGGCTTAACTTCAATCACCTACATTATTATGTTAAAGTAAATTCACACTAATATTCTGCTTCAGAGAAATTTACCTTGATATGTCACTGAAATAATAAATGAAGTGATCAAAAATATAAGGCAACACTCTTCCCCGAACAACAGAAATTTGTAAAGAAAATGACTTCCTATACATACCGGTAGACTTTGGCTTACTATGATTGAACAAGCTTTTGTCACCACCACCTCTTGAGGTATAAGCAAGCTTGGGAGGTCTCCTGTCCTGTGACACAGTCTCTACGACACAGTATAAAGAGAATATTAGATTCCCTTTTCTAGGCTTTCACTATGTTAGAGAGAAGTTCAGCTTCAAATGTAACTGAACCAAGGTCTAGCATCGCAAGTTTTAAAACTGAATGGACCAAAACCTTGTTTGGCTCATAACCAACATTTTATATATATATATGATTTGCTACTACCACATCAGCAATTACGTTACTCTGAAGTCTTCCACTATTTCTTGAACATACCAAATACATCAAAGAATGTAAAATCAATCTACATGCGTGCTTCCATTATGGGAACAGATGCATGAATTCCTAATCTTTGTTTTCTACCAACACATCTGCAACAAATGCTCTTTCCCAAAATAGAGAAGGTCCCATGAATTCTCCAAAGAAGGGGAGAATTCATGCAAAAACATGCATCCCAACTAAACCAACAAGTAGGAAGTGAACATAGGAGAAATCAGCCAAATTGAAAAGAACGGGAAACAGTTAAGATTACAGGCTGTACAAGACCACGCAACTCTGACGAGGATCAGGGGACTGTGGTGGTTACAAGTTAACATTATTCAGTGAGTTATTGTGGATAGTGAAACTTTCCACAGTTTTGTTAGGAATTTTCAAGTATTTACTTGCAGAATGCATAAGTAATACTATCAATAATTCTATCAATATATTCCATGTGCAGAAAGAACAGCTTTCTGACCCAGGATACTTAAACTCCTGGAGTAAACTGAACAACATTAAAAGAATAGATTCCTGCTACAGACACTTACATATTCATTATTCTTACATAACTCTAAATAACACATTATTTGACATTAATTTTGTTCAATATTAAACCTTTTCTAATATTGAGAGTGAAACAAAAAGGAGGAGGAAACTGAAAAGAAGCGTAACACAGAAGGTGAAGCTAATTCGAGTGAATTTAGAATATTAATACTGCCGTACTGTTTTAATCATGTAACTTTGCCTGGGTTGAGATGTTATCAAAGCTTGCCTTCTGGTTAAGAAAGTAAAGCATACCTGGAATAACATCATTGATATGCAAAAGAAGTGTACTTTCAACACTTGCAAAACTGCACAGCTGTATTCCATTATATCTTCCATCCCAGTTTCCGATAGGATTATCCTAAAAGTAGAAAGACACGTTACACATATCCCAAGAGAAGATTTACAGCATACAAAATACACATACGTCTTTAAAAATGTAAAAAGTGAAAAGATAAAACGTTTGACAACACTTGCTTTTTCCTGTAACTTTGTATTTGAAATATTCAAACATTACAGCCTTCAAAGATGAACATGAACTTAAAAACTGTTCTTCTGAAAAATATTTCTTATGTTAACAAGCATTCTTCTACTAAAATTCATTATTTGTAAACAAGTTAGAACTCCTGTGCATTGTTAGGCAATGGCTACTGCAACCAAGACAATGGAGGCACCCAATGATTTTGAAAAACAAAACACCCTTTAACTATCAAATATCTGAAAGCTGTTCATTTAAAAAAGAAAAAAATCAAATTGCTAGAAATAACTTTTAATGGCAAGCTTCACATTTTCTTGAAAGATCAACTTTTGTACTTAAAACTCAGTATTTTTAAGACAGGACAAAGTCAAACAAACCAAGGTTACATGAAAAACAAGCTCTTACAAACAGCTCACAAAGGCATTCAGCTTACTGTTTCAAAAGGCAGAACAAACCCAGTCTCACAAGACAAACACTCAACTCCATTACAGTAAGACCGACATTTAACATTACAAGTAGCTCAGTGGAGGCTCCTCAGAGTAACCAGAGTATTTCTCCTGAACTGTTCAGAATCAAATAGGATATCATCTACCTGATGCCAAAATACAATGACCGCCAAGGGGCATATTTGAACACAAGTGTTTATTTCCCATTTTAGGTCAGCCTCCACTGAAGTAGCTTGTGCATAATGTTTCTTCTATATTGCATGTAATTTACTTGCTAATACACATGCAGAAGATATTAAAATCAGATTATTTTCTTACCATGTCCACTCCAACAACGTATCCTAAACTCTCGTTTCCTGGTAAGACATCACAGAATATAACTGTCCCATACTCTATACTCTCTCCTATCTTCAGAGAAACCCTGGAGTTGATCTCCAGAGGAGGAAGTTCTACCTGCATTGCTTCAACAGGAGCTGCATAGTCACTTTCCAGTTCATTGTCATCATCTTCCACCAGCTCCAGTTTGTCCAAAGCAACAAAAACCCCACAATCCTCATCGCATCTGAAAAGCTGCTTGCCTTGGTACTGGCCATCAGTAAAGCCCTGACCACGACCTTCTTCCTAAGTGTTGGAGGAGGAGGCAGGGATGGGAAAGGAACGCAGGGAAAAAAAAAAAAAAAAGAAAAAGAAGAAGCAGTGTATTTTGTGCAGAAGCAGATTACTACAAAAGCTGTAACATAATGCAGTGCTCTGAAGAAACTGCAATTAGAATTGGGCTGGTGAACTACCATTATATTCATTATATTTCAGAAATGTGTTGCTGGAATTTGTGGCAAACATATGCTCTATCTTAGGAGAATAAACAGTAAGATGTTGTTTGACTGAAGAGTAGCTGCCAGCAAAAGCCTTTTTATTTGGGGAAGCATGTTTTCTTCAGGCGCAAATCTTGCTTCCATCATCAAATTTTTGCCACATCAAGACAAGACTAATTTGTATTAGACATAATGCTAAGCTTTCAAAAGTCCTACTTAGACACCAAATAAAAACAGAGAATTTTCAGAGCCACTTGGCCCTGATATTCCCAGACATTTAGTGGGAAATGCAAAGAATCTGGGGGAAGTTTAAAGAAGACTTTGAAAAACATACTTCCAATGCCACAATGGCACCCTCTTGAATCTAACCCTTCAAAAGCTTTTGTCCAACATTAATTTTGCAGATTTATCTCACTAGGCACACAACAGCAACATCCTCTATCTTAACTAGTTGACATTTGACTTTTAGAGCTCTACAGAACTGGCAACCCTGAAATCCAAGCCTGCATTTATGGACTGTATCCTGCCATGTGCTGGGAAAAACAAAGTACTCAAGAAAAATCTGACAGATATTTGCCACAGTAGGGATGTAAGTAATTTAATTTTCCTAGGCTGGAAGAGTCAGAGTACATTTTTTTTGCCAGCCCATGCACCTCATCAAGATTTACTTAACATGTAGAATACACAGCAGGTGTGACAGAGTCTGTTCATAAGTGTTGTTATTAAATACCTGTGAAAGACCGAAGATTACAGAATTTTTAGGGGTAGTGATGCTTCCAGAAAAGAAAATTGTTATGACTGCCTCTTTAAATAGAAGAGTTTTAACTCATAAAATATGCATGACGCTTCCCCTTCGCAAGAAACTTACCAGTAACTCTACTCCAAAGTATATCCCTGTTAGGGACCTTTCTTGCATCAAGGGTCCTCTGAAACGAACAACTCCAGGAAATTTCTCATCTCCTGATCTCAGCTGTACTCTAACAGGTGAGCCAATATCTATTTGGATGCCTTTAGTTAACCTGCTTTTGCTTTTAAACAGACTGTATCTTTCCTCACAGTTAGTAATAGCCAAAAGCAACTCAGCTAGTTTTTCACTTATTTCTATAATATCTTTCTCATCCACAAGCAGGACTGCATGAGGTTGTTCCAGAATCTTTAATCCAATCTGCAGTTTCTTGCCTTTACAAGGAATATTTCTGGAGTGTCCCACAGAAGAACGGTCTTGAAAAAACTGCCCAATGCTACCTCTTGGTACTTTCAAGAGCTTCTGCGTCTGCTTGTCCAAGACACTGCATTCCTGGAGAAGCAAGTAAAAGATCCGCTCTTCCCAATAGGATGAACCTCCTTTTTCTTGACTCCATAAGCCAGAATTCATTGTGATTAAAACTTTGTAAGCTGCATAGAAGTCTTCAAGAAAAATAAGCTGTTTACGTGCACGTATCTTCACAAATTCTACGGGAGGGTCCAACCTCTGTGAAATAATGCAACATTCATTTTGCAAGGAACCAAATTCAGAGCAGAAAGCCTAGAATGAGAGAGGGAAAAAAAAAAAAGGAAAAGAAAAAAAGGCAAAATGAAACTGAGGACCTACATACTCTTGAGTAAAAGAAAGAAAAGAAGGAAAAAAAACCCCCACCAATCAGAAAAGCCCCTAAATCTATGACCAGCCCCACTCCCTCTACAGATAAAAATAGTTCAACAAAATCTTAAGACACTGAACAGTCTCGAAACAGCCATAGCACTTTTGATCAGACATACCCATTTCTACTTGCAATTGCCGTGTATTTCCTTTCCTCCTCTAGATCCTTGAAGCAAACAGCTAGAGGAAAAGCATAATGAGATGCAGAGAACACGCGTAAGTAAAAGGGAAACGAAAACTTAATTTCAGATGAGCAGTAAGAAATATTCTGCTTGAGTTTAAAAACAATACTTTATGGAAGCCTTCTTCTATGAAGATCTTTTCCGGTGATTAGCAACAACCTATTTTTGAGGAAGTGTACTGCATCTGTCATCACAGGTAACATTATGATTCAGTAAAGTACAAAATTGTGTCAATGTAACAGAACAACAGAAAATGGACACTTCAGTACTCCATAACAGCCATTTCTTTAGATAACAGAAATTGACTGTTCCAGTAAGCCATAAACAATGTATGACAAGAAAATTGCACCAGTATTGCAACATGTAATTCTGAAGAAAAACCTGAAGACTTTTCTTTCAGTCATTTTAGAAAGATGACTCACTTTAACAAAGTAGAAGGAAATATATCAGTTAATAAAATACGTGCTGGTCGATGAGAAAATGAACATGAGCTGGCTTCAGCATGCACTAGCAGCCCAGAAAGCCAATCGTACCCTGGGCTGCATCAAAAGGAGCGTGACCAGCAGGTCAAAGGAGGTGATCCTGCCCCTCTACTCTGCTCTTGTGAGATCTCACTTGAAGTACTGTGTGCAGTTCTGGTGTCCTCAACATAAAAAGGACATGGAACTGTTGGAACAAGTCCAGAAGAGGGCCACGAGGATGATCAGGGGACTGGAGCACCTCCCGTATGAAGACAGGCTGAGAAAGATGGGGCTGTTCAGCCTGGAGAAGAGAAGGCTGCGTGGAGACCTCATAGCAGCCTTCCAGTATCTGAAGGGGGGCTATAGGGATGCTGGGGATGGACGCTTCATTAGGGACTGTAGTGACAGGACAAGGGGCAACGGGTTAAAACTTAAACAGGGGAAGTTTAGATTGGATATAAGGAGGAAATTCTTTCCTGTTAGGGTGGTGAGGCACTGGAATGGGTTGCCCAGGGAGGTTGTGAATGCTCCATCCCTGGCAGTGTTCAAGGCCAGGTCAGACGAAGCCTTGGGTGAGATGGTTTAGCGTTAAGTGTCCCTGCCTATGCCGGAGGGGTGGAACTAGATGATCTTAAGGTCCTTTCCAACCCTAACTATTCTATGATTCTATGTATGTCTATAGTTTAGATCATTCTGGACACATGAAGAAGATCTGCAGTAACTTAACAGTATTTGTTTACTTCTAAAGATGACAGAAAAGGGTAACATACAAGTTAAGATTATATTGCCATATTTTTTTTCTGTCAATAACCCGTGACACCACAGTTTGCATTCAGTTAAAGGAAACTCTCAATTATTTATGCATTTACCTTCAGTAAATAAAAAGCAAATACTCTTTGTCCTCCTGCCTCCTCTTTCTACCCTGTTCCTCCAGATCTTTTCTCTGATGGAATTCAAATATCACAGAATCTATTGCTATGCATCCTACTCAGTTTGATCTGAGCTTCAGAAACTAACAGAAAGCAATGGAATCTAGTAGTACTGAAATTGTATTCATCATCTGTTTTTAAACAAAAGGGTATTTAACAAAACTCTTTCCCCCCAAAGAAAAGTAGTAACAACCAGAGAGGAGCTGAAATGTATGCACAGTAGCATCTTTCTGTCACTAGGAATCTACCCATCTGTGCTGACTTGCCAAGCCTCCTGTGAGGCCATGAAACCCCACAGCCATTCAAATTGGAGACAGGCCACTTCTCACAGGTGCTATGGGGGTGTCAGTGTCACTACCACATTTGGACACTATTGCTGCAGCAGCTCACAGTAATTACATTGTTTAAAGTGTTTCCACCTGCAAAGTAATGAACATCTAAGGGACAAAACCTGGACAGTTTCAGACCTCACTGAGATGAAGTCTGGTAGACTGTCAATCTGTTTTCAAGTTAAGAAATATTTCTTCATTTTCATTTCATTCACATAAATGGGCTTTAATGCTTGTTGGTGATTAACAAGAAAATCTGATATCAATATTGGATTGAAATAGCAATGTTTTATGTAGACATTGATAAGGAACAGATTTCTCCACACCCACCACCAAAGGAAGCAAAATTAAATGACCACTAGTTTTTATAAGTCTACTCAGATATTAAAATAGAGTTCTATCCAAGTCCTGTCTTGTTTCCTCCCCTTACTTTTTCCAGACACTGGGAAAAAATACATACTGTCTTGCTCTTCACAGCTCCATTTTATGTTCTCAGCTTGCAAAGACTGGTGCACTTACTTAACCTTCCTCTTTGTAGTCACTCCACAAAGTTAATCAACCTCCAGTCCACTGCGAACAAGAATCTCCGACATTATAGGGTTCATGATCTTTCCTACTTCACTTACAGAAATAATTTATTTTAATAAATATGTACAGAAACAAAATATTAATAGAGAAGTCTGTTCAAGAGCTTAAATAATATTTTTTAATTAAAAATATTATTTTATCTATTTTTTAATAGGTATACTCTGCTTGCAAGTCAACTGCTTCAGTATCACACAATCTTCACATGTTTAGAAGAACTTTGTGTGAAAACATGTTAGCTGTGTTTAGATTACACAATGGTAACTTTACATGGCATGGTCAGCCTTCCAAAGTTCTCATCATCCATGCAAGTGTTATGAAGCTATTGAATACAGTACCAAAAGGTCTTCCAGTATGAAGAAGTTATCACTGTAGAAAATGTCTTCCCTTAAAAATGTATCTACCACCACTATCCCCTATCAAAGAAAATATACAGCACTAAACCCCAAATCCTCTTTTAGAATAATGAAAGTGCTAAATTAGTACTTAGCATAGAAAAGCTGGCTAAAAAGGATATTAAGTTCTGGCAAAGACCAGAAATATATGCCCATAAACCACCAGTTTTAAGATTATTTTTTTTCTTTTACAGCCATTTTCCATGGAATTGATTATCCTGCGAGAAAAGTATACTTGAACAAACAGCACACCTGTACCACGTTAATACCAGAATGAACTATGAGACCTCAGTATAAATTAACTTGGGAACCAAATTATGCTTAGCAACAAGTCATCTTTACACTCCATAACATACCAGCAACCATAAAATTTTGTGCATTACCAGAGAGTACTTCACCATCACCACGATTGTCTAAGTGTCAGAGTCCATTCAATTAACTCCACCTACTAGCTGAAGTATTTTCATGCACAAGGATTTCAGTGAGCAACAGCCAAAACACAGTTATGACTGCAATACTACATACTTCAGGAAAAAAACATATTTTAAAAATGTCAGAACTAGTCTATAATAACCCACCTAACTGCAAAGCTTCCTTAACTTCCTTTCTTCCTAGTCTTGAGTCACTGCTGTCACTACAGAGTCATCTCATCATAAAAACAGTTTGCAAAGAAATATGAGAACTTTGTTTCTACCCTGGAGTAACCTTAGATGAACTACATAGACATGTTTGAATCTGCTATCAGGTTTCAGCACGAATACACAATTCTGTAGCTCTGATTCAGAGTATAAAATGAAGAAGCCAAAATAAGTTGTAGGTACTTACAGAAGTTTCACTTTAAATACCAAGCTTTAAACAACTGAGACACAAAGTTATCTTCTTCACAGTCCAAAAATAATTTTCAAGGGAAGGTTAAAACTAGAAGCAAATTTAGTTGCGGCTGAATGCGCATAGAGTTACATAACTGCAATACAAGCCACGAGTGGAAAAAACAGAAACTGTTTCTTCAAAATACTAGGTGAGATATTGCCCGATACAAATAAGTTCATACTGGCAACATGACTACTAAAAGAAATGCAACTGGAAAACTCTACTGTTTTGTTTGCTGTTCTAAATTTGACACAAATATAACACTTCAGAGGAATAACAAAAGTCATTATCAACCATCGGCATCCTCTGGCATTACTCTACTGGGCAAATACACACCAATGCACAATCCTCACTGTTGTGCAGACAACCCTTCTGCCAACCTGACACGCAAATACCTTCAATAAAATGAAAGGCCTGTGCTCAAGTTTTGAACTTAAAACCAAATGACATTTAACTTTGCTCAGTAACGGAACACTTTTAATGGCAAGACTGATGCACCCGTTTATCGCCTAGCAAGACAAGATGCGATATATAACGTGAAAGTCACAAGGCTCGACGCAAAGCTTATTTTTTGAGAGTAATTATTCCCCACCCCCTATCTAGATGATTTCCCATTCCTCTCTGGGAGGCGACGAGCGGAGAGAGACCGACAGCCCCGAAGCACTTGTTAAGCCGGAGCAGAGAGCGGTCGGGGCCTTAGCGCCGAGCTATCGAGGGCCAGGCCCGACTACCCACGCCACCGCCGAGTGCGCCCAGCCTGGCCCCGCCGCTGGGCCTCACCGCGCCCCTGGCCCGCAGCGACTGCCGCGCCCCAGGCGGGGGGTCCGCGGACACAGGAACAGCGTGGGAGAGCGGCCTGACGCGGCGAGGCCTCACCACACCTGGCGCGACGAGCAGCGCCCCCCAGCAGCGCCCGGCCCGGCGCTCCGCCCGTCACTCACCTCTTCATCCCAGCCCCAGGCGCCGGCACGCACACGCCAGCGCACAAGCCTCGCCCGGCGCCGGCTCACAGCCCCGCAACAACCCGACCCCCACCCCGTACACCCATCGGCAACACCCAAAGAACGCCCCCTGCAGCCTTTGAGGGCCCGGCCTCTCGCCCCCTCGGCCTCCCTCAGAACCAATCAAACCGCGCTGCCGCCGGGCATCGCAGCACTATTGGCTAAGAGCGGTGCCAGGTTACAGGGCGATTCGGGAATTTCCACCGCATCAGGCATGTATGAGCAGCTGGGGGGGGGGGTCTGCAAGGCGCGGTTGGCGGAACGCTTCCGTGTCAGGACGCTGATTGGTCAACTAGAGAGCGAGGGCGGGACGTCGGGAGCTACGGCGGGCCTGATTCGACGGCGCCGGCGCCTGCGTTGTCTGGTCGCGGTGCTGCCGAGGCCGGTTTTATCCAGCGAACGCGGGCGACGGGAGGGCTCCTCATTTAAGCGATTGGCAGCGGTGGCGTTTAGACGTGAAGAGCTCTTCCTGAGCGACGAATGAGAGGACAGACGCTGGAACGGAGTGTTGTTCGGCAGGACGGCTGTGTTTCAGCGCTCTATTCATGCTTGCAGCATTTCCAGAAGACAACGTTTATTTTTAGAGATAATTTTTTAAATTATGCAGTCTTCTAAATTGGTGCTTTTAAAGCACCATTCTGTTTTAAATACACTCTGAAAGGGTGTGCTGCTAGAAGTGGGCTTCCTGCAAAGAACCATCCTTGGGAAGGCTACCCCATGTACCTAAGGTGGCTACTATAATGTTGACATACAAATAAACACTTTCCTGATTTCGTAATATCTTTAACATTGCCTTAATGTGCGTTTCTATGTCATTTAGGAATATGTGCAGTTCAGCATCCCAAAGTGAAAAGTGTTCCAGTCAATGCTATTCCTTACAGATACCTAAGATCTAGAGGGAGTTGGTAAATAGGTCCAACGCACCCTAGGTCATGGCTGGGTACCCCTCTCTGAGCTGGGAAGCAATGTGTATCACTGTCGCAGCTCTTGGCAGGCAGCTGGGAAGGCGCAACATGGGCTTTGGCTGGTGCAGATACGAGCAGGATGGAAAGGATGTGGCCTGTGCATCAGGAACCAGAGGGAGTTGGAAACTCCTGAGGAAACGATGAGATGCCATCTGTTGTAGAATCAGTGCTGATACTAATCATTTTGTTTAGTCACTTAGAGGGAGACTGCGTTTTAAAGGCTCAGTTTGGTTTTGAAGAATAAGGAGTAGTGGAAAGCCAGTAAGATTAGTACGTGGCGTTTGTACTCTTTGCAGAAGGGCACCCCGTGGTCCGCGGCTATGCTCTGCTGATCCTCGAGGTGGCTGTCTACCACAGCAGCTGCATTTCCCGCTGCTCGTAGCGCTGCCTTTCATCCTACTGCAGAATGCATTAGCATGTCTGCTGTAAATCCTGAATCATAGAATCATAGAGTAGTCAGGGTTGGAAAGGACCTTAATATCATCCAGTTCCACCCCCCTTGCTATGGGTAGGGACACCTCCCGCTAAACCATGCCACCCAAGGCTCTGTCCAACCTGGCGTTGAACACCGCCAGGGATGGAGCATTCACAAGTTCCCTGGGCAACCCATTCCAGTGCCTCACCACCCTTACAGTAAAGAATTTCTTCCTTATATCCAATCTAAACTTCTCCTGTTTAAGTTTTAACCCGTTGCCCCTTGTCCTGTCATTATGTTTACATTTGGGGTATAAATAAATTACACGTGGAATGCAACTCTAAGCATGAGTACACCATAATTATAATTGAGAAGAAAAGGGGTCGGAGACTTTAGAAGAATAAAATATCAAAATACTAGATAGGAATGGCTATGTGGAATACCTAATTACTCAAAGCCAACTATTTAAAAACATTTCTCTAGTCCATGTAATTATGTACTTAACTCTCCATGATTTCAACAGGAAAATTATCACGAACCATTTGAAAGTGTCATTCTACAGACAGAGTGGTGCTTGTGAAATGCAGCCCAAGTTCATACCCCACTGACCCATGAGGCTCGTGTGACAGCTCTGTGTCACCAGCAGACCTCAGCTGAAAGCCTGGCCAAGACTTCTGTTTACTCTAAATCTCCTTCATACTCCTGTAGAAGTATAAAGCAGTTTTAGAGTGATAACAGGGCTTTGGCAGCATAAAATGTGCTTGCTAATAGTTCTTTCATGTTGAAAACCCTGTCAGTAACACCAGCACAAGATACTTGCCATTAAACAAGTGCATTAGTTTAAACCACACTCGGGTTAAAGGAGACGTGTTTTGTAATAATAAAGTTTGGTAAACAAGTTTCACTTCAAATGACACTATACAATTAAACATTATATAAATAGCATGGAGCAGAATTTTGTGCTATGACAGGACAGAAATATGGTATTCATTTATCACAGCATCACCCCAAAAGTGCAGACTATTCATGCTGCTTCAAATATGGAGATTGTAGGTATTTATCCAGCTGCATTAATAGAAGAGAGGAAAGGTTCTTGTAGAAGCATCAAAAACAACATTACAGCACTTTCTAAATATTAGTTATGTGATAAAAGGGGACTTGAATAAATACATTAGGTATTTCTGTCTCCTGTTGTTTCTCATTACCTACAGCACTAATGAATGATGTGGTAAAAGAAATAAGGTTTACTTGCATAGTTTGGGCCCTGACAGGGAAAAGCAGCACAGACTCAGAAGCTGCCCGAAGCTGTATTTCTGAGGACAGAAGCTGAAGAGTATTTTGTAATATGGGTATTACAGCCACATTCTTGAGCAAGAATAAGACCTTGCTGTGCCTATAATAAAATGCCAATAAAATCTGGCAGTAAACTGCAGTTTGTGTGTAACGTTGGTTTATCTCACAATTTTTAAGCTGATACTGGCTTTGTTTTATATGATTAAATATCGTTCCTGTCTGCGTTTATGTAATCTGTCTGACTGGGAACATGGGAACTGCCCAGATCAGGATATAACTCAAGGCAGGACGTTTTACACTACTGCAGCTGGTTCTTTAACAGTCTAAGCACAAACATGATTTGCAATACATGGCATTGCAAGGCTAGCTCATCTGGTAGCTGGTTACCAGGTTTTGGACAGAGACTTTAAGGTTAGTCTTCCTAAAATGGGTACTTTCATCTTAAATCAGTGTGTAGGATTTAAATCCTATGACAACAACTTCCATGTATCAAGCATTAAGATTTTGACCTTGCCTTGCTCCTATGTTATTGCAGAGCCCTCTTTTTCCACATCCTTTGCCAGATGCATTTTAGCACTGTTCTTTATGTATGCCAAAATCAGTGCTTTCACAGAATACAGACTCTTAGTAAGTCAGTGCATGAGGATTCCTTTTTCATCACTATGACATGGTTTTGCACTAAAATTTACCACAGTTTTATATATAGTCAGATAAATTGATGGTGTCAGTGCACTTGCTCATCTCCCAGAAGGGTATGCTGCCATTGTGAAAATTCCCCTTTTCCACTTCTTAGCCCTTTACATGGTGTTTCACTGTTGGAAGTGGAACTGAGAACTAAAAAAAGGTACTAGTTACTCATACTGCTAGCAAACATACTGCTAGCAAACACCATTGTGTACTGTATAGGTTTTTTGAATGTGCTAATCAAGTAGACTTTAGGAAGTAAAATGCTGCTGGACTACAGGCACTGGGTCCCAGTGAACAGCTGTTTGGACCAAACCCAGGCTTATGGGAGCAGGGTGAGGAGGAGCAACCTGTGAATGTCATAGCTACTGGGCATGAAAAACCCCTTCAGAAACCAGCTGTGACCATAACAACTAACTTGACTTAGGCAGGCAGAATTCTTGCAGAACACCCCTGATTTGTAAGTTATTTCATATCAGTCAGCCATACTCATAATAAGGGATTTCACCTTTTTTTTTTTTTTTTAATCATCCAGGTTCATTTGGCTAGGACTTGCTTATTCTGAAATAATGTAGAGATCACACTTGATGTACTAAAAAATATACTTTATATACTTTTATCTTTTAGCTTTATCAAAAGCAGGACAATAGCACTAAGCATCACAAAATAATACATTGCTTTTTGGCAACACATAAATTAACAGATTCAGAATTCAAAGTTCAGATACATCTGTGAACTGTCAGCATAAGTGGAAAATGCACTGAAATCCCCCTTAGTTTTTGCTTACAATTGTAACCAAACCCATAAATATAACTTTAAAGGAATGAGACTTAAGCCAGAAACCCATGCTTTGTCTACACTTAAAAGGGTTGGCTGGTATAGCTACACCTTAGAGCTCTATTGGCAAGCACAGATTTCTTTTCTGGTATAACTTAAATAATTTTCTGCATAGAACACACTAAACTGGCTAAAGGACTCTGCCAACACAACAGCATCTACACTAGGGCTTTTGCCAGTGTGGCTGTAGCTGCATGGGAGTGATTTTTCATCTTTCTGACAGCTATTTTGGCAAAACTTCTATATTTAGACTGTATCCAAGTTAAAGTTGGCATTGTTTTATGTTGCAAATAAAGCAGAAGAGAAGCATTACCAGTTTATGGGCCTGGTTTTACATTATTTTAAATTGTTTGTTCTGAAGGAATGCGTGGGGCAGGATCCATGTGGTCCTTTGGATGTTTGCCTCCCACATTTGTGTTGCATTAAAATCACTTAGTTTTTCAATGAGTAAGCTTTGGCAATGGGAAACTTGCGTTACTAAAAAAAGATAGTGTCCATATTATTCACCCCAGAAATAGCTATTCCAATGCTTCATAGCAAATTTCCAAAGTGAACTGTAAAAAGAAGCATCTGGGCTAAAGGACCTGTGGATTAATGCATCATTCTTCTTCACTCACTTTGCCCTCTTCAACAAAGAGTTTAAGCATAGGATTCATTTTAAGCACACACATAAGCCCATTTCGAATTCAGTAGTCATGTCAGATATGATAATGCTTCTTTTTGAACTTTAATTAAGGAGATATTTGAAATTAATCATGTTTAAGCACTGTGCAGACTCAGGATTTCTGTCAGAACTGCAAGTTTAGATAGAGTGAGGCTATTTATTGTGGTCCCATCTGCATTTTCTATTCTGAAGTGGATGCTAAGTCAGTAGTTTAAAGATGTCCCAAGGGGCATATTTTTTCCACATAAGTACATTCACGTATTTGGCTCTTTTTTCCTAACCTCTCTTCCGTTAAGTGTGCTTTTCTGGTTTCAGAAATCCACGCAGAGAAGTTCTCATTGATTTTGTACTTGTGCTTACTGTTGAACTCTTTCCTCTGCCAGACCTCGTGTTTGCAGGTGTAGTCCTGATGCTCGGGTTTGCAAACCTGCCCTTGCTCCTGGAGCTGCACTGTGGGCAGCAGGCCATGCCTCACTTGCAGACAGCGCAGGAGCTATTTGAGGCAAATAGGAAATCTCATGCATAATCAGTCAGCACTGAACCAGTGAGCCAATTGGATGAGGAAGTCTGATTTAATCAAGGCTTCTTCCTTCCTTTTTGTGAAACACAGAATGTGCCTGTTAGAAGAAAGCACAGACATATTTTTCTGCGCTTTGAAAACGCGAAGCAGGCTTTTTGTGACTTCGCACACACTATGCAGGCACCACAACTGGAAGGTCTTCAGCAGTATCCAGGTGGGTACACTGTGCACTTTGGTTTCTGGTGTTACCTATGACTCAGTGGAGCAGTTGGACTGGCGTCTACCCTGAAACGGAACAGGATGAGTTTCTGTTCAGAGTAAAACTGTGTCATTTGTTTCAGGGGTTTTGAATTGTTTTTTAGTATATATATATATGTAAAAATAAATTGAAGCTTAGTTAAAAGAGCTTACAATGATTTTTAGTTGTAAAACTGAAACCGTTTCTATGAAGTACAGGTAGTTTTCAAGACATATATTCAAGGCAGAAGACTTGTGTATCATAATGTTCACTTCTGCATTCTTTTGTTTACAAGTGTGTTGTGTTTCTCTGGTAAATCATGTTTTAAAGATGTGTTTATATAGAGAGACATGAATACATATTTTAAGTATATAAAGTTATGCGTATGTAAAATGATACATATTTTCAGAATAAATACAGTTGTGCTTATGAGGTTATACCACCTTCAAACAAAGAGTTGTAGTTTAAAATTGGCCATTTTCAGATATCTTATTTAATCTACTATATTTAATATTATCTTTACATGAAAAATGAATATTTGCAAGTTTATGCTCTTGGGATAAACTATCATGGTTTTCCAAAGACTGAGCAGTTAGACAATAAGTGCTACTCTTCATGTTCAGAAAGAAGATCTTAAGAAGGACTAGAAGAACAGTGAGAACTTTTAATTTCTAGTCCAAAGTCCAAAATTAAGGGCTTCCATGGTGCTCTTATTAAGGAGGATGACATTTCTGTACTTGCTTATCCAAGTTGGGCAAAGGAAGAAGGGTTTCTGTTAGAGGAAAGTGGTTTGCATTTCCATTATTTCCAGTGGGGAAAGTAATTGCTTTTCATTGTGTGGCCTTGCAGTCTGCCAGAAATCAATATGCCTGCTGAAGAGGTTTCCTCACTTTTGTATCCAGCATTGCATAACTGTGTGGTAGAAGAGTGGAGGCCAGATGCTATGTAGCAACATCCCTGTACTAAACCCTCTCATTACTCAATAGCCTCTGCTTGGGCATTAATTTTACATCTATATCAGGGAGACTTTTTTTTAAAAAAGTAGTTTGTTTTGTCATTTGATTTTCACCCTTTGGCTGAATTATGAGCAACATTTCTTTCATACTAACGGAAAACACTACCCCGGCAAAGAGTATACTGTGTTAAGTATTTTATCAGCATGTGGTAAAATAGTAGTCCTATCATATCAGAACAGGAATATAGATCTACTACAAGCACAGTATATAAGTTAAAAGGACAAGTAATGGGAAAATGCTTCTGTACAATAATTGGAAAACTCAGTTCTCCTTCCATCTAGCCATTGTCAGATTCAATTATTTTGTTTTCATAGCACAGAGACAGATCTCTGGAGGGAACTTGAAGCTGTGAAATATGAAAAAAAAAATATTATACTGTAGTAGATATTGCCCTTTTTTTGTCCTACAAATTGTGATTAAGAACAGATGACAAGTTTTGGAGAGTTAGAAACAGTGAATCCTAGCAGTGTAAAGGGACCAGGCTGCAAGTTATACTAATTATCTCCAAGATTTTAGTTCATCTGAGCTCATACTTGCAAGCTTAAGGGCAAAATACAGGTAGAAAAAAATCTGCCCCCACTGAAGTGTATACCAAAATTCTCATAGATAAGAATGGAGTTCTGCACCTCATCTTATTCAACATAACTTACATTTTTCATGTTTAATTTTAATTTTCCAAGGAGATATCTAAACACTTTCAGTGGTAATGGTAATAGAAATGGTTCTTCTCTGGTACCTATTTAGATATTTCTATTTATTACTTTAGTTTTTGTGAATGTGCAGTTGCCCTCCTACAAGTTCACAGAGACCAATGAGTAAGTCAGTAAAAAAAGATTGCCAGTCTGGATGCTCTAAAGGCAGGCTACTAAGAAATGTCATTTTTGTAATCTTTCAGTGATAGCTTGCGGTGGACCAAGACTCGCACTGCGCAGCAGAAAGGGAACTGTTGGAAGCTGTAAACAGGATTACTATGTTTTCTACCACAAGTCCATCTGATAAAGAGCAAAATCAACCCGAAGCTGAAATTTCATGTCAAGTGAGAAAAGAAAACGCAGAAAAAGATGACCTGCAAGGTTGATGCTACCCTTTAATTTTATTTTTCACGTAGCTATTTATGCCATTAATCTTTTCTATTAAAAACTTTGCTTCATTTATCTGTAGTCCAGATTTATGCTGCTATACTTCACTGAAAATAAGCCTTAATTGAACTTGGTCAAATAATGTGGCGGTAGTGAAACAGATGCACATCCTGGTGTATATATACACACACAGAACTTTCCTTTTCAATCCCTTACACATAAAATGTATTCCAGATTTAATTTACACACCAGGGATCAAAATGGTGATTATCAGATGGCGTGTCTCAGGAGTGAACTTTCTGCATGTCACAAAATCTGAACTTCTTGACAGTGTCAGCAAGGATACCAAGACTGAAGCTAATCTCAAGCAATAGTCTCTCACATACCCTATGGAGAGGCAGCATTGAACATTCACTATGCCTAAGATTGCTGACATCTGTTGTTAAATAAAATGTTATGTATAATCCAAAATATATATCATCTCATCAAGATTTTCAGCCTGCAAAGATGTCATAAACACCCCCTCCTTTAGGAAAATATATGCTTCATAGAGATTGAGCCAAACCCCAAAGGCCTTGATAATTGAAACTGTATGACCAAATGATTAAGAATATGTAAAATTGGGGCCAGTAAAGGAGTACTGTGGTGCCTTTACAATTCTATTGCTGCATCAGATTGTTATCTTCCCATTCATTTGTGGTCATTTAGATCCATTAACTGAATGTTAGATATATTGCAGACTGACTTCAGCTGACTACATTGGCAGAGACATTATTAATTTGAAGTTGGGACGGGTGTACCCACAGAAATACAAACATTCCATTTTTTTAATCCACTTTCCTAGCACATACACCACCTGATGAAAACTGTTGTGAGTAGATTTCAAAGACAGAAAATCACCCTTTTGAAAAACTGCAACAAATTCCCCCGTAAGCAAAGTCTTCAACCAGCTGTCCTACATTTTTATATATGCATGTGTCTATATGTTTGTGTGTGTGTCTGTGAGGGGAGAGAGAGAGGAAGGAAAGGAGGTATATAAAATATTTGTGGCTGAACTGTGTCATCAGCTTAGCTACAAAATAAGAAGAAATGAGAATTCTTCCTTTGGCTGAGCTGGATATCCAAGTTTCTCCTGTCAGCTTAGGACATTTGTGTGTTCTCAGTTTTCACCCATTACTGCACAAGCCCAATATCTGAATAGACTCAGTGTTTGAATATATGCACTGTATTATCTCCTGCTTTTAGCAACAAAGAAGCCCGGAGAAACATCTGATTCAGAAGACTGAGTCAGCGTTTCTTAGGGCTACTTTTGGGAAGGTGAAGCCTACCTCCTGCTCAGACTGTGCCCAAGCTTAAAACCTAGACGTTCAATAATTTTTATCAGTAATTTTTCTATTACTTTGCATTCTGCAGACTATTTAGTGTCTTTCAAAATGTCAGACCACAATAACTTTCCTCAAAGAATCTGGACCTGTCTTTATTAGCAGTGAAATCGCTTATTTTATCAGTCTTTAGGTCTTGAAGCAGCAGAAATTCTAGCCTTTCCTTTCACAATAAATGCATAAGTTTTGTTTCCAACTGCAAAGGTTATAATCTGAAATACTAAATTTATTGGTTTTAGATTCCAGTGCATCCCTAAGTCCCAACTCTTCAATGACCACTAAGGAGCTTCAGGAATATTGGAGGAATGAAAAACGCCAGTGCAAACAAGTCAAACTTGTTTTTGAAATCCCATCAACCAGAATTGTAGAGCATCACTTATCTAAATATGTGGTAAGCTAAAAAATGAATATGTAAGAAGATCATTAGTTTTTATTCACTCTACAGGGGTCTGCACAGCACACGGCATGCTTCACTACATGAAAGCCTTACTGAGGGCCAAGTTTTGCAAGCTGTGATCATACTGAGTAGAAAGAACTTGTTATCACTGATCTTATAGGCATAACTGATGGAATCTGCCTCTAAAATACCCCTCTGACAACCAGTTCACAGTATCTGCAGGAATGGAAATGTGATATCATGTGAATTAGTCGCTTGAGTGTCCTTAACACCTGGAGGTTTGTCAACCTAGAGGAAATTCACACAAGTATAAAAATATCAGTATAGTTGCACTTCCACTGTAGCAGCTGCATTGCATTTGTATAAATTCATCATCAGAGATTTATCTTAGCACAAGTGCAAAATTCTTTGATGTTGACAAAGTCTAAGACATCCTCCAGCTAGGTTGCTTAGGATCATTCCTCTTGCCTATATAGAGCTCCATTAGATGGCACATTTCTGTCATATTTTTAAGGTGAAGCATGAGTATGAGGGACAGAACAACAGAACAAGTTGTATTTTTGTATCTTTACTCACAGTACGGACACTTGTTTTTTATTTCTGGCTCTGCTCCTGGCCTGCAGCGGGACTGAAGGGACTATAGCAAGTCTCTTTCAGTACTCTTGTGAAATAGATGTTTTCCTTGTTTGCAAGGACCTCTGAGATCTGTAGATGGAAAATGCTAAGAATCTTACTAGTTTCTGATACGGGGTTGTGCAGCTTGGTAGAATATGGAACAGGTAAAAGTTTGGGAGACTGTCCTAAGACCTTGTTGCATGCTATACACACCTACTTAGGTGCTGCCATACTTACACACACTCAATAATATCTAGCTTGGTGAAAAAAATTATATTAGTATAACTATATGAGAACAAGAGTGTGATTCAGTATACGTGCAAGTAGTTAGACTTAGCCATAAGTTACATGCCTAGGCAAAGATATGTACATTACAACAAAATTGAGCCAATTTGAATGATTATCTAACTAAATGGTATTTTGGCCCTCTTTCATGCATACTCCACAAAGAAAAGAACAAGTACTTGTAAATTATTTACTTAGCTGCCCTTGATAAAATGATAGCTTAAAAAAATGCTCTTATCATTGTTTTCGATATGCATCACGCATATATATACTTTTCAGCAGGGAGCAGGAAAAAGTGTAGGAAAATGTCACAGTGCTTACAAATGAAAAGACCTCAAAGGAGTCAGCTCAAATTTAGAAACCTTTCAAGGAGCACCTGTAAAGATCATTTATGAAGATTAAAAGAGAGAATTTCTTTTTAAGGAAAAGCAAGGAAGGGAATCAGACAGAGAATAATGCTGATACTGGTTTGCAGTCTTCAACAGTAGCAAAGGAAACAAATGGCATGAGTACAATGGCTCCAGGTTTTGTATAATTTAATGAGAACAAGGTCAAGTTGAATATGAACCTGGTCATTGTCTTGAAGCCAGCAAGGTCAACAGTCCATGTCCTTAGCTGGTGTGCAGTGATGTAGTTAAGCGGCCCTCAGTGGAGCTCCACTGGTTTATACACATCAAGGGTCTGGCCCTTCCTTAGCATCATTGTGCTTGCATCAGAACCAGAAGAGAATCTATTTGTACATCACATAACACACAATTTTATTTTGCATCAATTTTTCTAATATCGCATTTATTATTGTCATTTTAAGGGTAGTGAAGAGCTGAGGAAGACATACTCTTGAGTACTGTTAATGTGGGACAGCTTTTCTGTTAGCAAAGGGTTTTGGATGACAAACAGATTGCTGTAGAAATGTCACTCTTTTTCATTATTTATATGCCAAGTAAGTTTTGAATAACAGGACAATGATTTAAAAGGGAGAAAAGGCTTTAGAGTTGCTCCATCTTATTATTGCACACACCAAACATTACTGCCGAATACTCCCTCTTCTTCCACAGCTTTAATAATACCCCCAGATCCCTAGAAATGTCTGATACAAACTGCATTTCTGAGTATCACAACCAATGTAAAGTAGATTATATTCAATATTAAGTCTGGGAAATCCATTCAGTTCACTGTAGATGATTGATTGCAGCAGCTATGGCTGTTATAAACAAAATTCAGCTACAGAAATGCTTTGTAAGTGGCTTTACTTGCGTCAGCCTGCTGCTAATTCACTGTTCCCAGCACCTTGCCGGATGGATCTTTTAGTGCATTACAACTTACTTGCATGCTAAGGCTAAATTTGGTGACAAAAGTATAGCACAACAGGAGGTGGGAATTATTAATTTGATGGCTGCAGATTTTTAAAGCAGACAAAATCTGAGTGCACTGGGGCAACAGTGGTCCATCTCATGCTTGTTTTTCTGTTTCATTGCGTTTAGATGTATAAAATCATCATTCTGCAAACAGGGAGTTTTGACAGCAACAAGTGTGTAATTGAGCGCCGTTACTCAGATTTTGAGAAACTGCACAGAAATCTGCTGGAGGATTTTAGTGAAGAAATGGAAGATGTGACCTTTCCCAAAAAAACTCTGACAGGGAACTTCACAGAAGAAATAATCAATGAGAGAAAATTAGCCTTCAAGGACTACCTGAGACTTCTATATTCTATGAAATATATCAGAAGATCAAAAAAATTTATTGATTTTTTAACAAGGCCAGAGCTTCAGGAAGCATATGGGTGCCTGCGGGGTGGCCAGTACACCAAAGCTTTGGAAATCCTTTTAGAAGTCATTGGTCTGCAGGCAAGGCTGACAAGAGGCAGCCCTGTCTCAATTGTCCCTACTCTCTGTGCCATAGTGGTGTGCCACAAGGACCTGGAAAACCCAGCAAGTGCCTTTGAATATGGAGAAAAAGCTCTGTCGCATCTTTGTGTACATACTAGCCACAAGTATTACATTCCATTGTTAGAAACAATGATCACTCTGGCATATGAACTTGGCAAGGATTTTCTGTCTTTGCAAGAAAAACTGGAAGAATGGAAGGCAAAAAAGGATCCAATTCGTATTTTTACCCTGAAAGAACTTGCAGTTCGCGAGTATGTACAATGAACACAAGAAACAATTTCTTTAAAAAGCAAAGCTGTCAACTTCTTTTCCCGGATGCAAGCTTTTGAAAGAGTAAGAACTGGAAATTACCTGTTTGGGTAACATAATATTGCATTAATAGAAAAAAAATTATATCTTTTTCATGTTCAGAAGCGACATTTACATGTACATGTACATGTACAAATATGAAAAGCACTTGAACTTATTAAGGTTTCTGGAAACAAATTTGCACCAAAAAATCATTTATGATTTGCTTATTTTGAAAATAGCCTATTTCATGTGAAAAAATCATAAGGAAATAAAATTAATAAAGCCCTTAAGAATCTGCAGAATCAGAGGGATTTCTTGCTTATGTAGAAACTTTTCAAGAAGAGAAACACCTTCTCAGACAATGCAATCTAGAGGATCCATCTTCAGACACTAGTTTTTTAGTCCTCCATCTGAAGCCTTATCAAACAGCACTTTGCCTTTTCTGAGAATGGTGGGATTGGTCCTCTTCCTAATGAAGTCAATTGCTGAGGGCAGGAGGACCTAGGGGTAAGGTTTACAATCAAATTTGATAGGAGCATGATATACAAGCAACAATCGTTCTGTCAGAGATGGGGGAGTATGCTTCATTTCCGTTTTGTAGCTAATACAGTTTTATAACTTGCATTGAAGGCACATTCTTATTTGGGGTGATCTTTAAATAAAGATCTGTCCAGGATAGAAAATTCATGCCACATGTGCTATATATATAATGCAAAGAAACCACAGAAGGGTGCTGTTGAGGAAAACATCTGGCTAATATAATGTTAGCATTTAATTGTGCTTTAAGGCATGGTTATCAGACAGTCTGTGTTAAGTATGTGCTTCCCTGTTGCCTTTCAGAGGTTTATGTAAACTGGGTGTTGCCTTAGTTTTACAGCCTGGTACACCATACAAATATCATCTTGGTGGCACTGCAATATCATAGCTAATTCTTTCAGAGATCCAACCCACATGTAAAAATTCTAAGCTTGCCTTAGCCCTAACGCTCCTGTGAAAGCTTCCTAAGAGCTGAAAAAATATCTCTGTTTACCTACTTCTGTAATTTCCCTCAGGTCTATTGTTTCTCCCATATACTTTTTTTTCAGTAATCTGGTAAATTAATTCTCATAAATATTGTGATTAAATATCATGCTAGCATGGGTCATTATTCCCTGCTGAATGTAGTCCACTGAGTATTTTCAGGCCTTACCTCAGGTACAGATGCTACACACACACCACAAGGACACTGTCTATAAGTTAGGAATAACTGTATTAAGTTATCTCCCAGACATGAAAGAGCCAGTTAATTGAAAGTGCACTGGGCCTCAGAAACATTGCTTTACATTGTTACAAAAAGGATGGCTTGGAAAAAACACAGAATAATGAGAGTATCTATGGTGGAAAGTTTACATTTTAAGTAGCTATTAACAGCTAAGTGTCAAAACATTTGTCGTGGTTTATTTGTTATTACAGATTATTTGTTATTTGACAATTATTATTTTTTCTAGTTAGAACTTAGAGAAGTAAGAGTAATTAACCAAGAAACTTATAGACTAATCTTCCCACAACATACCATGAGCCGGGGAACTACAGAGCAGTCAGTCTCACCTCTGTGCCTGGCAAAATCTTGGAGCAGATTCTCCTGGAAGGCATGCTAAGGCACATGAAAAACAACAAGGTGCTTGGTGACAGCCAGCATGGCTTCACTAAGGGGAAATCCTGCCTGACCAATTTGGTGGCCTTCTATGATGGGGCTACAGAACTGATGGACAGGGGTAGAGCAGTTGATATCATCTACCTGGACTTGTGTAAAGCACTCGACACGTCCCACACGACATCCTTGTCTCTAAATTGGAGAGACATCAATTTGATAGGTGGACCACTCAGTGGGTAAAGAACTGGCTGAATGGGCGCACGCAAAGAGTTGTGGTCAATGGCTCAATGTCCGGCTGGAGACCAGTAACGAGTGGTGTCCCTCAGGGATCGGTGTTGGGACCGGTCTTGTTCAACATCTCTGTCAGTGACATGGACAGTGGGATTGAGTGCGCCCTCAGCAAGTTTACCAATGACACCAAGCTGTGTGGTTTGGTTGACACACTGGAGGGAAGGAATGCCATCCAGAGGGACCTCAACCCATTTGTGAGGTGGGCTGATGCCAACCTTATGAAGTTTAACCATGCCAAGAGCAAGGTCCTACACCTGGGTGGGAGCAATCCCAGGCACAGCTACAGGTTGGGCAGAGAAGAGATTCAGAACAGCCCTGAGGAGAAGGACTTGGGGGTGTTGGTTGATGAGAAAATGAACATGAGCCAGATTCAGTGTGTGCTTGCAGCCCAGAAAGCCAACCGTATCCTGGGCTGCATCAAAAGGAGCGTGGCCAGCAGGTCAAAGGAGGTGATCCTGCCCCTCTACTCTGCTCTTGTGAGACCTCACCTGGAGTATTGTGTGCAGTTCTGGTGTCCTCAACATAGAAAAGACATGGAACTGTTGGAACAAGTCCAGAAGAGGGCCACGAGGATGATCAGGGGACTGGAGCACCTCCCATATGAAGACAGGCTGAGAAAGTTGGGGCTGTTCAGCCTGGAGAAGAGAAGGCTGCGTGGAGACCTCATAGCAGCCTTCCAGTATCTGAAGGGGGGCTATAGGGATGCTGGAGAGGGACTCTTGGCTAGGGACTGCAGTGACAGGACAAGGAGTAATGGGTTAAAACTTAAACAAGGGAAGTTTAGATTGGATATAAGAAGGAAGTTCTTTACTGTAAGGCTGGTGAGGCACTGAAATATGTTGCCCGGGGAGGTTGTGAATGCTCCATTCCTAGCAGCGTTCAAGGCCAGGTTGGACAGAGCCTTGGGTGAGATGGTTTAGTGTGAAGTTTCCCTGCCCATTCCAGGGGGTTTGGAACTAGATGATCTTAAGGTCCTTTCCAGCCCTAACTATTCTATGATTCTACCATGTTGCAGGTCAGTTAAAATGGATCAAAAGTATCACCTTCTTAGAGGATGTCTGAATCAGTCACAATGCGTCAAAAAAGAAAGTGTGTCTGGGGTCTGTGTTACACTCAGGCAACTTGAAGTTAAGGCAGAAGGGAAGCATGGCCGTCACGCTGCTCTGTTTCCACTGTAGTTTGTGGTGAAAGACCAAAGAAATGCCTTGGGTTCTCCTTAGCTTCGTATGGGACTGTACATGAGTAGCTAATTGTGTCCACAGGCTCTCACCTTACAGCTGACTACAAGATTAGAGGGTCTATAAGTATACACTGTCTAGCAAAGACAAATACCTGGAAAATAGCACATCAGAGATCTTACTTAACCTCTACTTGTGGTAATTCTGTAATTTTTCATCTCCAAAGGATTCACTGATCCAGAACTAACCAATTTTTGTTGACATGGCAGCGCACATTGGGAATACAAGGAGATGCAATTTGGCTAAGAGAAAAATTGACATAATTCAAAAGGCACTAAAATAAGCAATGCCAAAACCCCCCACTGTTTTGCTGGCATAAGTCAAATTTCTGAGAGTGCTTTTCCATATAGCAGAATTTTGTCAAAAAAATAGTTCTAGAATCACTTTATCTATCATTAGAAGGCAGAGGTCAGTTTCCTTGTATTGTGGGAGAAATTGAAATAGATAAATACTGGAATGCTGTGAAGAAAGAGCAATGTGTCTGTTGGCTAATTCCACCACAGTGGACTTCTTTAATGGAAAGCCATTTCAGTAGGATATCTGTGGCCACCAGTCAGACATATCTCAGAACTACCCAGGAAGAGCATATCATATCATCTGCATCACTCAGAGGGCTGATCTCAATTTCTGTTGCATTGAAGCATCCAGTCAAGCCACTTCATGTAGGAATCTGCACAGCCAAAGCACATGTCATCAAAGGGTCAAGCGTAATGTTCATAAAATCAGCTTGTGATTTTATTACTATTACAACAAAATTAAAATCCCCAACAATTCAAGATCCCTCCAGCAAATCGTGCATGCATTCCCTTCCTACAAATCCAGAGCCTATGACCTTTGGATTTATTATTTCTTCAGAGGTGACATTGAAAATCCTTGGAAAGAGAAAGCTAGGATGGTGACGGCGTTGAATGTGGACCAATTGGCCTGGATTTTGCCTGAAGCTCTGCCACAGAGTTGGTCTGAACTTTGCAGAAATAACAGCTTCTGTGCCCTATTTCCTCATCCAGTGCTTCCTGAGTAAAGTTTCCTCACTCAGGTTTTCAGTGGTTACTAAACAGAAAAATTGTGAAACTTGACCCAGTAAGTTAACTCCCGCGTTTAGCATAGAAATGTGAACTGAGATGGAAGCAATTTTATTTTATCCAAGCCTATTTCATTTCTTCAAGGTATCCTGATATAGAAGAGAATTTAGAGGCAGTAAGTTGCCAAATCTGTGTGCATGGTTTCTTACTAATGCAGTCTTTATTTTAGACTCAGACTTTACTTTCCTCACATACCAGAGAAGTTACAAAATTTATCTATTTATTGCATAGGATTGTAGTGAGACCATGCTGGCTCATCAGCCTTATGGGCCATCGGCCAGTTCTGACTTCTTAGCTGTGTTCTCTCAGAGGCTGGTTGGACCTGCCAAAAGAATTCTGCCTTCATTTACTCACATTTCAAAAGTCAACTTCGGCAAATTCTTTTTCGCTTGATTTGTACAGCAATGTGAGTATTCAGCAGTTACTAAAATAAAAGGTAATGGAATTCCTGCTCCCATACTGACACTTCTATATTCCACTTGGAATTACAGCCTGCAAGTTCCTTCTGCCTGTTGATGCAACTTCATCTTTCACAGTTCAAAACATATAGCCAGGTAAGGTAGATTTCCTGCAGAGAACCAGAGATTAGTTTCTTTCCCTATTAACATTGCCTGGTGCAGGAGTACAGTAGTGGCTGCAGAGCCTGCATCCATGAATTGAATCTGTCCTGGCTTTTTCATAAAATGTATAAAAGTTAAATGGGTGCTTTCCACCTGTGACTGTGTCTTGGTTTTCCTCTGAATAATGTTCTAAGAATGGCTTAAAAAGGAAATGGATA